CTGGGAGTCATGCTAGGCTACGGAGACATCATCAAAGACATCTACGAGCCTGCACTTGCCAAAGCCGAGCGCGCACTTCATCGCTGGAGCAGCCGCGGACTGTCGCACCCAGCACGAGTCCTCATTGCCAACACTATCGGTCTCTCGAGAGTTTGGTACCAAGCTAGGTTCGTCCCAGTCGACCAACGCCAGCTAGAGAAAATCAAGAACATGATACAACGCTTCATCTGGCGCAAAAGGTGGCCCACAAGAAACCTCGCCACACTGACCGCCCCGACCATCTCAAAGCATTTTGGCCTTGGCCTCCTCGACCCAGCTACGAGCTCCAAAGCCTACCTGTGTCAAGCACTTGTCAACCTATGCACCGGCCCAAAAAGCGATTGGCAGATGGTTGCGAACGAAATTTTCCGAACAGCCGACCTGAGCCGCAGGCGAGAGGTGCAAAGATACTTCGGCCTTCAACGGCTGGTAGGCGCTGGCCCTCCGCTACCCGCAACCACGTCACTATTCTGGCACAAGGCACTGAGTGCCTGGGCAAAGCTGCAACCCACGCTCGCCCAACCACGGACTCGCGACCAAGCGAGCACGACGCCCCTCTGGGTGTCAACAGTCGGCGGCGAATACAACGAAACGAAAAACAGAAAAATCCTCGCCAACTCGGGCTACTGCTACGTTCACCATCTCAGGACAATTGATGGGGACGAAGAGCGATACCGGACAAAGCCCGAAATCGAGAGCGGCATCAATCACCGAAACGCTGGCAAGGCCGCCCAATGGGCCCACGCGAAGCTCATCCCACGGTTGCAGCTCGACCAACTGCTGGAGCACGAAGGCCCTGAACCGGCACTACGCTGGGGAAAGACGCCGGACGGAGTCCTCCGCAGCTTCCATCTCGAGCTCACCCAGGACGGCACGAAAGAACTTTTAGGGCAACCGCACCACGTCCACGAGGACGGCTCCATCGACCAAATGCCTGAACATGCCAGAGTCGTAGACCCACTCGAAATTCAAGAAGCCGTCGTCATCAAGCGAAACAAACAGCACTGGCTCATCGGCCTGCTGACCGAACTCGACATCGATCCAACGCGCATCATCCTGCAGGGCCGAAAAGGAGCCAACCACACGCCCATGCTCGTGTCGGCGCCAGGACTGCGGATCAAGAAGCTCCGCAAGCTACTCACCAAAGCGAGGCATGAGCCCAAACAACTCGCTAGCTGGAGAAGGCTCCCGGAGCAATGGGTCGACATTGCCAAACTGTCTTGCTCCCCGCTGGTGGAGCGCAAACAAAGCGCTCTGCTATGGAGAATCGCACATGACACGGAGTGGCTGGGCTGCCACGCCGCCCAGTACCTCCGCCGAAAAGACCCCGAAGCAGCAGAAAGCAAACTCAACTCAGGCGAGCTCGACTGCCCACACTGCCGAAGACCAGACAAAGAGGAGACCTGGCCTCACATGATCGTGGAATGCCCTCTCGCGGAAGCAGTGTGGGGCGAAGCAGAGACGATCTTCAAGCGGGCTCACGGCTTTTGGTTCCCTAGGCACGACGACTTCAAAATGCTCGGACCCTGGCGCACACACCGATACGAACTACTCATTGCGGACAAGAAGGACGACCACTCCCGCTCGTGTCTCACCATCTTGTTCCACCTGGCCAGATGGTCACTCTGGACGTTGCGGTGCCGAGCTCGCTTCGATCACACAATCATCCACCCGACTCATGCCGTCGCGCACTTCCGAAGCCTTGTTCTCAATCGTGCGAGACAAGACACCTTCACGTGCCGCAAAAACAAAGAACTCAAGAGAAGCCCAGGCTTCCATAAGCTCTGGGGCAACGCACTCGCAATCGAGCCCGACTCGACTCTCCAAAAGATGATTCTCGTCCTCTGTGACGACCAAAATGTTGTTAGCACCCCAGACATCATATCTGGGCTGCAGATGTTTGACTAGAGCTGCGTACGCCAATGCCAGCGGCGCAGCTCAGCGAACTTTTGTTGTTACGACGGTGTGAGTACTGATAAATACAAATACACATCGGTTTGAAAACAAAATTTTTGGTGGGGCTTTTTTGCAAATCCGATGTGTGCGGGTCGTACTGTATACGTTTGCGACTCAGACTAGACCTGAGATGTTGGCGCAAAACAAGCCAGAGTTTTGGAAACTGAAGCGAAAATCTGTGAAGGACTTTGAGAAAACAATCGTTGATCTTTCGGTTTCAAATCCAAGCCTTCACTTCTTTCTGTGTTTTCTTTTTTCGTTTGGTGCTTTTCCTTCATTACGTGTTTCAATTGGTCATCCGAACTTTCCATTAGCGTCTCTGCCTTTGTTTTTGCGTTGTTCAGTCTTCATTACAGTTTGTTGGAATATCTTGGATAGCTTTCTTTTTTTTTTTTTTTTTTGTTTTTCATTGTCGCTGCACTTCCCGTGCGTTGGGTACCATCCTGGCTCTTCGCTCTGAGATGATCTTGTGAAATGAGCAGAAAGAGGCGAAGGGAAAGTTACTGACTGGACCAAACAAAACAAAACAAAACAAAACAAAACAAACAAAACAAACAAACAAAAAAACAAACAAAAAACACCGGCAATGCTGTCGTATCAGAGTATGACCCAGAGCCCGCAGGATTTATATGACACTGTCAAGAATGCGAGTGGACAACTCAGGTAAGAGAAAGCCGAATTCTGGTAATGTGTGGCTGCATGTGTTCAGACGAATTGGAGGACAGTCTGCTCAATAGGCAGATTGGCGAGGTTGGTGCGCGGGCGATTGCTGAGACACTCAAGGTGAACAAGACACTGAAATATCTCGAGTAAGGCATCTCGCTTTGAGTGATGAATGTGAGAGAAAGTGATCCTGCCGAGTATGAAGAACACTCACAGATGGAGGGGGGATGAACAGTCTGGACAACAATCTGATTGGAGATGCTGGAGCGCAGTCCATTGCTGAGGCACTCAAGGTAAACACGACCTTGAAAGCGCTCAGGTAAGTCATCTAAGATTGTTGATGCAAACGACTTTCAATGGAGAGGACGGACAGTCTGGCTAAAAATCAGATTGGCGATGTTGGAGCGAACGCGATTGCTGAAGCACTCAAAGTGAACAAGACCCTGACTTGGCTCGAGTAAAGCATCGTTCTTTGACTGAAGCATACGAGTGGGTGATGCAGCAGATGACATTCAAATGCTCACTGATGGAAGGGAAAGGACAGTTTGGGCAAGAGTCGGATTGGCAATGCGGGAGCGCAGGCCATTGCTGAGGCACTCAAAATGAACGCGATGGTGACTGAGATCGGGTAAAGCATCTCTCTTCAAGGATGCTTGTGTATGTGCGATCCAGCAAACGAATTCAGAGTGCTCACGAATGGAGAGAATTCACAGGCTCAAGCAGAATCAGATCGGCAATGTTGGAGCGAACGCGATTGCTGAAGCACTCAAAGTGAACAAGACCCTGACTTGGCTCGAGTAAAGCATCGTTCTTTGACTGAAGCATACGAGTGGGTGATGCAGCAGATGACATTCAAATGCTCACTGATGGAAGGGAAAGGACAGTTTGGGCAAGAGTCGGATTGGCAATGCGGGAGCGCAGGCGATTGCTGAGGCTCTCAAAGTGAACACGACGCTGATTGTGCTCTTGTACGGCCGCTATCCCTCATAGTTCCACTTGGAGCAGAGAGCTAACTGATGGATGGAACGCACAGTTTGGAAGACAATCAGATGTTGGAGCCCAGGCGATTGCCGAAGCGTTCAAGGTGGACCCGAAGCCGAGGCTTACAACGTATGGTGTCGTGCACTTTAACTTTGCCAGGGTCATCCATATCACTCACTTGCATTGCTCAACAGTCTGAAGCGGAATTGCATTAGCAATGCTCGTTCTCAAGCAATCAATTTATATAGGAGCTATGATGGACGGGGCCTTTAGTAAGTTGTCCTTGCCAACTGAAGCCATTGAAGCTCACGCGAGCTGTCCAACCAATGGAGTGTGCCTTCCGATTGCTCATTTACGGTGCTTTTTCGTTGCACAGCATTTACGAGCAGGTTAACCCTCGTGCATTCTCCTTACTTCCACGCGTAGCAACCGCTGACGACCTTCAGACCGTGTTTTGCTTGCTGACCAGCGGACCGGAGCTGAAAGATCAGTCCACATTTCTGCCAGCATTACCAGCCGAGATTGCCGACATCATTATGGACGAAGCGCAATACTGGCAAGGCGAGCAGCATACCAAACGAGACCCGTACGATGACCGTCCTGTCAAGGTCACAGTGCCACAAAGCATCAATGGAAACTCGACCCGTGTGAAAGCAATTCAAGTGGTTCGGGACACGGGGAAACTTTACCACCGCATCGGTGACAACGTCTTTGGCTTGATTGTTCGAGATGAGCAAGGTACTGTTCAATATGAGCATGAGGCGAAAGCGACTTTTGTCGATTCTACACTCGTATCCGCGACGCTCTGGCCAGCGAGCACTCCTATCATCAGGCAAATCCGCGTGGGTTGGGAAGTTCAGGTTCAACCCAGCAAGTCTGCCCGAGATGTGCTGTTTGAATCGCTCGTTGTTAGATGTATGTAGAGTACCTGTGTCATACTGTCAGGACTCGGTCGTTCTTTGCGAAGAAGACTCGGCGTTGATGTCTTTGTATTGTTTGCATGCATTTGGAATTGCAGTTCAGCCTGCAAAGTGAAATAAAACACACTTTTCTACAACAGCATTGCCTGGCTAACCCTACCAAGGTCTTACATCAAGTGGAGCGGAGGCGCTGCGACACGTTGTTTGTGTGTCATGTAATGCTTTGTGAAAATTGGGCAACATGCTGTTTTGTTTTTTTGAATTTTCATTTTCGTCTGTTCTCGCTTCGAATCTTCTCCCCCAGCTCGCTGCTTCATTCTCAAATGTGTCTGGTACACTGTACCACGAATGCAGATGTCGCGGGCGAGACGGAAATCAACACAGGTCCCAGGGATGGCGAAAAAGTGAAAAAAAGAGGGGGTGTCGAAAATTAAAGATCGGGATGGTAACATTAAACTCCAAAATTTTCTGCATTAGCTCTATATTCAAAACACGCAGCTAGCACAACTGCACTGTGAGCAACAACCGCTTCATCCCCGTGCCGCAACTGAGGCAGCAGCGACCGGAGCCGGGTTCAGCAAGCGAGTCATAATCTCCAAAGGCGCCAATGACGCGCTCAGAGCTCCATCCATGCACAACATCATGTTACTGCCAATGTGATACAGTCGAATGTGCTTGGGGGTCGTCTCCATTAGCTTTGCGGCGGCATTCTGCAGCTCCGGACTCGCGGGATCGGACTGGAACGGAACGGCGACAAAGCCCCAATTCTGATCGAGAGCCGCAGCGAGGCGTCGAGGGCAAACCCAAAGCTCGTCAGTACCAAACGTAGTTGCGGTGGCCTGCTCCTTTTTGCGCGTCGGCTTCTCCGAGTCTTGAAGGGACGCGTCGGCAGCAGTTTCGGCCTCATCCAGCGCTTCCTGCTTCCTGGTAATCTCTTCGGCGAGCTTCACCGAAAGCAGACCGGCCTTTGGTCGGCATGCAACCAAGACTGTGACAATACATGTGAGTCAGCAGTGACGAAAAGGAACAAACAAACAAATTCAAACAGCAAACATGCAAAAAAAAAAAAAAAAAAAAAAACGCCTCCCGCTTTTGCTGTTTTGATTTTTTTTCCCCCCTGGTTGGCCTTTCAGCAATTGACTGTTCATTCTCACATACAAGTCCAGCTCTGCTTTGTATCAGGATGCTGCAGCGAGACACCAACGGGGGTCTTGAGCGTGCGCTTGCCATCCGGAGCAGACACCACGCGCACTGGCGGCTCATTGTTTTCGATTTGCCGAATGATGCATTGCGCCCGAGGCAGGTTGGTTGCCAGAGGCGCGTTTCGAAGCGTCTCTAAGGAGACACCCTCAAATTTTTTGTCGTGGTAGAATTCAGGCTCTTCGTTGCGCGACATTGCTTGTGGCGGTTGGTGATTGTGGACTGAGGGGGGTAATCAGGACTGAGTCAGGTTTTGGGTTTTGGAAATCGGCTTTAAGTGGCATCGAAAAACGCTACGCGAAGAGTTTGCGCAAAATCGAGACGTCTGCTTCTGGCACATGCGCGACATGCATTGCGAGTTGGCCAACCAGTTGTAAAGTGTGTCAGTTCGAACGCGAATGCATCACTGGGCAACAACAACAACAACAACAACAACAACAAAAAAAAAAAACGAAAAAAAAGCAAACCACTCTTGCTATCAAATCCCCTGTCAAGATGCGCTTCACAGCTCAGCTAAAACTAATACATTATGCCCCCGAATACAGGGAGAAAAAGTAAATATACAAGAGCAACACGGGATACAGCAGCAGCGTCTTTTTGCTCTGCATCTCGTCGGAAACGAGCAACGAACCCGCACTGTAGGCAGCCCACAGGACGCCAAGAATCTGTCCGATTATTAGCACAGCAGCAGCACAACAAACCCACCAAAGAAGAAGCAGTGTGAAGTCAGAGCCGTCAACAGCTTCAACAGGAACATACGGACTGATCCGCAAATCGCACTGCTGATTCCTTGCAGCCAGATCTTACCTTGAACAGTATGCTGAGTTCTGGGAAGCGACGGAATGCGGGCAGCACGGCTCCAGTGACAATCAGAGGAATCAGCGAGTATCCAATCACGCCAATTGTTTGCGAATAACTGACATCGCCACCAAGGACTCTTGCCAGAACGAAAATGAGCAAGCTGCCGACCGACCAGATGGTCAGAATCCACGACACGACCTGTAGCTCGAAGCATCGATGGCGGAGGGGATGGAGGGGAGGGAGGCGGGGAGGGGGGGGCGCAAGAGAACGCGAGTCAAGTGAGCATCACAAAGCTTGCTACAAGCTGGTTTTGTCCGATGCTTTTGCCCTACCTTGAACTGGCCATACAAGGACACGAGGGCGTAGATGAGTACTACAAACAGCGGGCCCCAGAAATCGGGGTTGTCGCGCACAACAGAGCGTTGGAATCCCAAGAACGGGAATGGCAGCAATACGCATCGAATCTTGTAAAAGATGTCCTTGATGTCGATATCCAGCTCCTCCCTAGCAATCGATTTTGATTGAAATGAAGCAAGAATGACAAGGTGAGTAACAGGCGCACGATCGAGCACGAGTGACCAATGCAATAGACCACTGTGGACTTGGGGACGTCGTACAAGAGCGGGCGATCGTTGGCGTCCTGGCCATCCTCCGTCTCGAGCTCGAGCATCCATCCAAGTCCCGTCTTGCCAAGCATGTCCTGCGCCCGCCCGACCATTGCGTTGTTCGAATGGTACTGTGCACGCACGCCGCCCGACGCGCCGCCTCGGCTGCTTGACGATGACGACGCCAGTGCAGAGCCGCCGTCGCCGCCTCGCATTGAGCCAGCCGCGAGTGGCGCATCCATGAGACCAGAGACCTCGTCCTCCAGCACCACCGCCCCTCGAGACGCCGCCGAGGACGACGCGGCAGGGTGGATTTGGATGGTCGCGAAGCTGTTCTGGCTGAAGGAAGCTGGGCTGGCACTGCTGCCTCCACTGCCGACGGGCGCAGAGGAAGAGGAAGCAGACGCGCCGCTGCTCGCAGTGCTGCTGACCCACATCGGGGAGGACAGCGTGGAGGTCGGTGGCGGCGGCTGCTGCATTCGGCTGCCAAACTCTGAAGTCAAGCCGGCAAACGCTGACATTCTCAGACACAACAAGGACTGCACTCGACAGTCACTGTCCAATAGCATTTGGGAAAAAGGGCGAAACATGTCGCAGTTGCAAGTCAGGATGGATGGAAGGGGTTTGGCCATGGAAGCAAATCGCTCAATAATGCGTCTTTTTGTCACCGTCGCTTTCATCCACATTCAACAGTAGTACAGTATCAATACGCACTTGGTTGCGAGTTCGCAAGCCTCAATCTTGGAATCGTGGTCGAAACCATAGCAGCAGAATCGATCGTGGAGCAGCTCAAACCATTGACATTCTATTGTACAGTACACCCAGCGCAACAGGCTTGTGCAACTCACCCATCCACACACACAATGCACTCTGCGACTCACTTCTCACAAACAGAGGAAGCTTATCCTTGTGTTTCTGAGCGAGAGAGCGGGAGAACTGCGCGATACAGCAGGCTTGCGACCCTTCATTTGAGCAGCATCGAGCCGTGTTCCGCGCTGAACAACAACGCTCTTCTCACAAGCAGGAAGCGCAGCTTCTCGTCCTGAGAAGCTGCTCCATGCAGCGTTGGTTCCGTGTCTCACATCATCCGGCCTTGCCGCAGCGCAGCATCGAGCTGCTCCGCTCTGAGTTCGCCTTGCAGCGGCTCGCAGTTCTTGTTAAACACCGAGTACGCGCTCTTTGCATGCGGATCGCGTCTCCGTCGTTCGGCAGCCGACTCGCCCGAGCCCAGGTTGGTGAAGATCAGCCACGGCGTGGACAGAATGACAAACACGGTGCCAAACTCGAGCTCGGCAAAGATCAGCAGAAGCAAAACCCACAGCACTGCCTTCAGTGCCGTAGCCAGCGCAACATTGCGCGTAATCCAGTCCCACGCTGCAACAAGCACGTCCGTCTCGGCGGCAGCTGGCGTGGCTGCAGCGGGTGCACCATTGCTCGGTGGTGATGACGGGTCGCTGCTCTCCTGCTTCTGCTCTCGTCGCCTGAGTGCGGCCATGGCCATCGGCGTCCCTCGGCTTGGATCAGGCTTGCTTGCAATAGGCGCCATTCTGCTTTGAGTGCTTGGTTTTGTTTGCAACGCGACTGTTCAGAGAAAGGAGGGACAAAAAGGCAAAAAAAAAAAAAAAAAAAATTGCGCGCGAATTTCGCGGTTTTTTTTTTTTTCGTTCGTTTGTTTCTGTTTGTTTCCGAACAGAAGACTGCATTGTTGGTCTTCCTTGGGCCAAAGCAACAATGACACCGAATGTGTGTGTTTTCGTTTCAACAACGTCATTGGTCATCATGCCGACGTCGACAACCACACAGTCAAAACCAAAGCCCGCTGCTCTGTCTGCGTTCTTGCTGTACGAGCCCGCATTGTCATATCCCACACACACACACACACGCACAGTTCACTCATCAGCATCTTCATCATCATCGCACTGCCAGCGATTCTCTAACAACGCAATGCCATTTTTCAGCCTTCTCAGTCCTTTTTTTTTTTTTTTTTTTTTTTTTTCCATTGCTTTCCATTGCTTTCTGGATTCGTTTCCTGATTCCACAAGCATGAGCAGTCCTTCACCGCCGCCGCCGCCGCCGCCGTTGTCGAGCGACGCGGCGCATCTGCACAGCGCCAGCACTGAAGGGAGCGACGGAGGCACAGGAGCACCAGCAGCAGACCAGCAGCAGCAGCAGCAGCAGCAGCAGGCCAGCGATCGCACTGGCCGCGAGCCCGACCGCGACCGAGCCGAGAACTACTACGCAATGCCGTTCGGCATCTTTCTCCCTTACGGATCGCACCTCTCGAGTGAGGACCTGCACGCGTTTGGCGAGACGTTCGGACCCGTGCACTCGGTCGATCGGCGCGGCCCTCATGCTCGAATTGTAAGCTCAGATTGCACTTGTACTTGTTGTGCTATTGATCAACTCACTAACATGACCAACAAAACACAACACACAAACACACATTCAAAAAACCCCGCTGGTGACAGGAGTTCAAAGACAAGCGATCAGTCGCCGCGGCGTTGCGAACCAAGGATCCGATCTTCAACGGATCTGTGGTCCGAGTCACGGTAATGAACACACAGGAATTGGATTGGATGCAACATCAAGGCGTTTTTACTATTTGCATGCATTGTTGCTCGGCGGGCGAGTGACACTTGTGTTTTCATGCTCACCCGATTTTCACGTTCTTTTTGTTTTATTGGCTTGGCGCCCTTATCAAACAACAAATTGTCTGGATCTGGTCTGTAACACAGCCTTACTTTGAATGTGCTCCGTGCAGGCGTTCATTCAGGTCAAGTGGTCGCAAGTGCCCGTGAGTTTCGAAATGACCGCGATCTTTCCCCCTTTTTTGTGCTTTTCTGCAACAACCGTTCTGATTCCGGGTTTGCTCTAGGATACATCGCAGGAGGTCCTCTACATCGAGGGATCGGAGCGCTAGCCGCAGTCCGACACGTCCTATGCACCTGCGACTCGAAGCGTATCTCCCACGAGAGCAAGATCGTCGATCGGAAGGCCAACATCGCGACTCTGCTTCAGATTCCCGAAACCCCCGCGACTATCGAGATCAACGAGATCAACGAGACCAACGCGACACTCGAGAGCAACGCGACACTCGAGAGCAGCAAGACCAGCGCGATTCCCGAGATCACCGAGATCACCGAGAGCAACGCGATTCCCGAGAACACCGAGACCAGCGCGATTCCCGAGACCACCGAGACTATCGAGAGCAACGAGACCGAAACCATCTGGACCGAGGCCGAGACCGAGGCAACGAGTCGCGCACTCGAGATCAGCTCTCAGATCGCGACTCAAGAGACCAACGAGACCAAAGCGACCAACCTCGAGATCGTCGTGACCATGAGCGAGACAGAGACCAAACCCGGGACCGTGATCGAGGTCGCGATCGAGAGCGGGATCGCTCCTTCGACAGCCGCTCGGACCGGATCCGCGATAGCAATGGCCGGTCGTGGGATCATACCCAAGGTGCGGATGTTGCGCAGCAGCATCATCATCATCAACAACACCAGCAACAGCAACAGCAACAGCAGCAACAGCCGCAACAACTACAGCAGCACTTTCCACCCCCTTCGGCGTATCCCCAGCAGCAGCAGCAGCAGCAGCAGCAGCAGCAGCAGCAGCAGCATCAGCAGCAGCAGCCTGGCTACCCGAGCTACCCGGGCTACCCACAACCAGGACCGTATGCTGGCGCTCCGTTTGGGGATCCTTCAATGCATCAGTTCTCGCAAGTACCGGGCGGAGCGCCGTACAACCCGTATCAAGGCTTCCCCTCGATGTTCCCTGGATATGGCGCTCCTCCGCCGACTGGCGGCGCTTTCGATGCCGCTGCCGCAGCGCCCGCCACCGGCGCGCTCTCGCAACTCGACCTCAACTCCATTGCGCTCCTCGCCAGCAACCCGCAGCTTGTTGCCTCTTTGGCCCAGCTGCTTCAAGCGCCTGCAGGCTTTCAAGCGCTGACCAGTCCGCAGCCCACTCCGTTCGCGGCTCAGGGGTACAATCCCAGTGCACCATCACTGCCAGCCCAGCTCCCATCCTCGCTCCCATCTTCGCTCACAGCAGCGCAGCTCCCCACTCAGCTACCGACCTCATTGACCCAATTTACCTCTCAGTTTTCGACGCACGTCTCTCAGCTTCCTGCTCAGCTGTCTCCAGCGACTACCTCGACCTCCGGTAGTTCAGTCGAAGACCCTCGCAACAGGGCCTCTCGAAGCTCCTATCCTTCTCAGCAGCGCTAGCCTGTTTCTTTATTTTGCCCCCCCCTTTTTTTTTTGGCGAGCGCACGCAAGCACACGCTTCTCGAGCAGGAGTTGCAGGACCAGTGATTAAAATTTAATGTGACAATGCTTCCATAATACAAGGATCAAATTTACAAACGATAGGACTTTCACTGTTGCGCCTGCAATCGCTTTTGCAACTCGAGGAATGCCTTCATGCCAGCATCCACTTCTGGTCGCAGGGGTGGCGGTGAGGGCGCGGGAGGTGTTGCTGCAGCAGCGTCGGAAGTGGCAGACCCGGGTTGGGATTGCTCCACGGCAGCGGCGGTGGCAGATCCGGGCAATCCGTGCTCGACGATTCTGTCGGTCAGGTTGCTCTGCTGCTGCGTCGAGTCGGAGGACGTCGATGCACCCGAATCAAGGTAATGATCCCACACGCAATTTGCGCAACCCGACATGCAGCAATAGTTCGGAGGACTCTGCAATGACGACTCGTCCTGGGCGGGTTGCGTTGGTGCGCTCGTGGACTGGCTTGCGATCGGCATGACTGCGACGGACGTCCGACCAGCAGCAGCCCATCGCAGCGACGCGCCACTGTCCATACTGCTGGCAACATCCATCCGAGGCAGCAGGGTCGTCAGACTCGCGCGGCTCTGTGACGCAGCGGTGGTTGCAGCAGCGCGCCATGCTGCTTGGAGATGCATCATCCGTCGCGCACCCGCGCCCAGCACTGAATGCACGCTTGCTGCTGCTATTGCTGTGCTTGTTGTTGTCGCAGTCGCCATTGCAGATGCTCGTCCATGGCCCGTCTGCACTTGGCGCAGTTCACCCGGTCGCTGTGCCCATCGCGGCGCTTTGGTCTCTCTTGGCTGGTTCGCAGTTGGTTGCGCACTCGACGCCGCCCTTGCTTGAGCACATCCCGCGAGTGTGTAAAATTGCTTGGCGTCTATTGAACTCGTGCACCGCACTGCTAATAATCCTTGTCGCCGCAGCAGGATTGGCCATGCGCGGCCAGTCAGCATGTTTTTGTGTTGGGTTTGGCTGCAGCAGATAGACTGGTTCACGCCATTCACAAAGCAAAAGCTCTGAACAAACCATTCAATGGTTTAGCAACACAATTCACAATCCATCTGCCAAACTGCACCACTTTCGTCATTCATTACAACTTTTTTTTTTTGATTCAGTCTCTGTTTCAAATCATCTTCGTTTCACTTCTTGTTTCGTGTTTCGCGTTTTTTTTTTTTTCCTTTTTGTTTTTCCCCTTCTTGAGACCTGAGCTCACAATCCCACCATATAACAACACCTCCTCGAATCAAGCTCACTAACCATGGGTCGCCACGCCAAGCATTCGCACACCAAGCGCCAGCACCAGCAGCAGCAGTATTACTCGGCGTCGCGCCAGCCACCGATCACGCCAAACATGCCCCGCAAGCACCTGAACTTTACCCCCGCGTCTGCATTCGCCCCTCTGGGTTCGAGTCCGCTGTTCACGCCTGCTTCGTCGGTGGCCAGCGAGCGGATTGCGCCAGTGTCTGCGTCGTTGTCGTCGCGAGTGGAGAAGGCCAAATCCGGCTCGACCTCGACAAAGCTCAACAATCGCAAGAAGCGGGCCGCTGCTGCCGCCGCTGCTGCCGCAACTGCTGCTGCCATGGCGGCCGAGTTTGGCACTATTGATGGCGAGTTTTCGGGAGGGGAAGGCGGCGTGTCGGCGGGCGCAGACATGGCGAGCAGCCACCACGCCGTTTCTGAAACTGTTTCAACTGTTGCGGCGGCGGCCGACCGTTTCGCGTTTCATGCATCCGGTGGTGGGGCGTCTCTGCTCCCGCCAATCACGCCTGGCACTGCCAACAGCGTCGACAGCATCAACGGCGACGGCGAGTTCTTTGCCGACCTGGACCTGGGCGTTGCGGCATCCGTCCGATTGCAACGCTCGCGCAGCCGCGAATTTGAATCCGACTCGCGCAACCGCTCCCCGACCAAGTCTCCGCTCCCCATCCGCGTGAGCAGAGCGTCCGCCTCCAGCAGTTGGTCCATCACCGGCGTTGTTAGCAAGGTAAGCGGTGTTTCTCGTCGACTGCGTTTGTGTGTGGGTGCATCAGCGATATTTTGTTTGGTGTTTTTTGAAAACGGTCCGAGAACCCCCTTTTTTAGGAAATGGGCTGGATTTCAATGCTTTTTGATCGCTTTTGATCGTGATGCGCTTGCGTGGGTTTTTTTTGGCATCTCAAACAGCAGCAACAACAAGCAAACTCATTTTTGGAATGGCTGCCACCCACCACAGGGATTGCGCGCCGTTGGTGACTTTTTGCTCGCGCGCACCGATGCTCCGTCCGGTGGCTCGCCCAAGCGTCACTTTACCGTATCGGAGCTGACTGAGCGCATTCTGCAACTCGAGAGCGAAATGTCCATCTTGAGGAAGCGAGTTGCTGATCAGGTAGTTGAGCTCGGGCCTTTTTTTTTTTTTTTTTTTTTGTTTGGTTTCTGCGTCGCGAGACGTAGCTCATCCTGGTTTTCCTTCATACTCGTGTCTTCCATCTTGGATTGATTGTTCTTTGATGCGCCATCAACTTCCACAGCCATTGCAGGACCACGCACCTTCCATGTCGAATGATGCCTTTGTGCCACCTCCGCCACCCATGCCACCCATGTGCATGGGTGCTCCTCCACCGCCGCCACCGCCGCTTCCTCCGCTGATGATGCCGAAGGAATACAAGATTGTGCTGGGTCGAGCATCGCAAAAGGTACCAGCTCGCATGCTCGTGCTCGACGAAAATACACAACCGAAAAACAATGGCAAACGCTCAACATTGTGCACACTAGACACAGCGCGACGAGAACGACGGTGAGGCTTCCGGGAAGAAGAAGGCCAAGGGATTCTCTGTTAGCTTGGAGGACATCCAGCGCGTGGCTTTGCGCCGAGTCAGCTCCAACCAAAGCGTCACCACTCCTGGATCCGCCCCCGCCAGCGCCAAGGACATTACGTCCGCTCTTGCAATGGAAGCAAAGGCCTTCCAGCTGAAGCGCAATGATTCCATTCGGTTCGTTGTTACTGGCGCACTCTCTGCGACAGCATGCTTGGTTTTGGTTGATAAAAACTAATCTGCCTGCTTCTCCATTCAGATCCCCCGGAGGTACGCCCATGCGGCCACGCAAGGCGACAAATGCCAGCCTCTTGGAAAATGCTGGCTCGGATGCTTCACACGGTGTTCGCACCCTTCTCCGTCGAGCTCGGGTAAGCGCGCTTGAGTCTGATTGAAATTGAGCCGAGTTACGTTCCGATATCTAACGCGCTGCGCCATTCTTTGAATTTTCAGACGGAATCAATTTCCTCTCCCGTACGCCACAGTCCGTTTGGTTCACCCTCCGCGGCGGTTCGTGCATAACTTAGACTACAGTATTGCTCTGAGCCTTGCTGGCGAGGATTTGGTCCAGCAAAGTTCCAGCTCTTCCCTCTGTCGATACCACCCCCCAACTTCCCCCATCCACCACTTGCAATAACACATCGAGTTAGGTTGACTGTCGTTGCGTGATTGCTTCACCCTATTTTATTGAACAAAACCAACCAAAAAACCAACAACAACAACAACCCCCCCCCCCAAACGTAAAAGTACTCTTCAGCCTGCCACTATACTTCTTGTTCACTACAAGCCTCAAGCAGGTCGGCAAGCCTTTGTTTTCAACCCTATTTATGTTTGACGAGTGGAAACAAAATCATGAGCTTGCTGCTTGCGGGTCGGCGGAAAGATAGTGCATGGAGAAATGCGGATCATCGGTGACCTCGCGGTCAATCTTGAGGAATGGAGGCAGATTGGGCTCTGCGCCAAAGCGAACAAACGTCTCGAGAAGCACAAGACCACCAGCACACCGCGGAGGGTAAGGAGCGCGATAAATGTCGAGCGAGTAGCTATAGCCATCCAACATAAAGTTACGACGCAGCTTGTGCACAGTGCAGTGGTGTGGCTCACGTTGCGCACGGAGAGCCTGTCGGAAGGCAGACGGAAGCAACATACATCAACAGTGAGTGGCGGCGACGCTCTGGTAGCACACGATACAAAAGCGAAAACTATCTTGGGAAACGCACAACATAGTCGCGGCCAGTGACTGATCGTCGGACCTCCACCCGCTGACCATCAATAACGGGACGACGCACAGTGTGCGTATAAGTGAATTGATCTGAGAAGCGAGGCGAGGCGTGAGCAACGGGTAGTGGAAACGAAACGGCCCCCCAAAACTTTCCCCGAGACGATTTTTGAGAGTTCTCACTGTTTTGTCCTCGTCGGCGGATACGCGCTTGAGTGCCGTCGGCAGTCACCAAGTAGTCGTGTTCAACATCAAAGTCTTGCACCTTGACTGGCAATTCCTGATTATTGCAAAAAAGGAGAAAAAAAAAAACAAAAACAAATGCATGCAGGAATCGGCTTGATGTGAGTTCCACAACAGCCATGTCCACGACAGCCAACCACGCACGCACGCACACACACACACACACACACACACACACACACACACACACACACACACACACACACACACACACACACACACACACACACACACAACATCTCAACACACAGCTCTCTTACATCAGGGACGGCCGAAACCAGGAACTTGCGTTTGCGACCCTTGCTCGGAACTTCGTCTTCCAATCCGATGCGCTTGCACACGGCACTGACCACACGTTGCAGCTTCTCCTTGAACCCGGTCGAGTTGTCAATAATATCGAGGTAGGGATGGCCCAGCCATGCATCGGCGACACGCGCATCCAATTGGCGTGCGAGCTCAATGCCCTCCTTTCGCACAGAGTTGTTTTCTGTCGTGTAGAACTGCTCGGCGCCATTGGCGGCCGTCACAAGATGCAAAACGAGGTCATAGCGACCATCGCGCAGCTCGACGGTTGTGAAATTGTTATCAGCAAGAATTTGGGACCAGAGTTCCGGCTCCGTGTCTGCATGCGATTGTGTGAGAGAGAAAGAAAAAGAGAGAGAGAGCGCGCGCCCACCCCCCGGGCAGTGAGTTGCGCAACATCGACGCTTCATTCGAGAAGATATCCACATTTCGTAAATTCCCCCCCCCTTCCTCCCCCAAGATCAGGGGAAAACCCCCAAAAAGGCATGCGCTTACAAGCCGAAGCATCCATCGCGCCACGATCGCAAATCAACACTTGGCTCTGAGTAGCTCCGGCTGCAATAGCACCGCGCGCAAGGTCATGGTACGTATCCTCCAAGCGCAGCATGACGTTCAGCAGGTTGTTTTGGAATTGTGCGGCTGTTGTTGGGGTTTCCGGTTCAGTACGAGCAAAAATGGATGAGCACCAAACAAGGAGCAAAGTATGCCTAGATCCACACAAGCAACGTCATACCCATTCTGGCGTCGAGCTCGGCGAATGAAACACCTCCGCTGTCCGAGTCGATCGTGTGCAAATAAAATGTCCAACAAGGTGAGACACAAAGGTGAGCATCCAGTGACTATGAGTCGTTCGATCTCTGCGCAACCAACACTTTTCCGGTTTACTGCAGAAACGTGGTCCTCTCGCACATCTTTGCAAGTAGTTCGATGCGCATCATCCATGTCATCGCAGGGGGTGCAAGTCCAATGGTAAGTCCAGCCACACTGCGCACTGCGCTGTGACCCCCCATTTTCTCTCCCTCCTCTCGCCTTTTCGCGCCTTCTGCTCGCAGCCGTCCACTGCGCAGACTTCACCAACGCGCATTCCAGCCATCCGCTCGTTCGACCAGCAAACACGCTTTTGCTTCGTCCCTTGACGCTCGTCGAGCGAGGGAGGGAGGCGCGATTCGTGGCTCCGATAAGAAGCGACCAGACAAAGGCTGCTGGCGACTGAAGAGCGACAATCAGCGCACGTTTGCAGGAGAAACAACAACAACAACAAAGCACCACGAAGCGACGCATCGACGGCACAGCTTTGAATGGAAGCGCGCCACAATGGAAAACAAGACAAAAAAGCGCGGGAAACAAACGAGAACCAAAAATCGCGTGTTGTTGTTGCGGTTTTTTTTTTTTTTTGTTTTTATACCTCAGAAGGACGGTCGCAGCTTCAGGGACGCGGTAGACCTTCCATCCGCGACGCTCAAAGAACTCGCTGAGCACGGAGAGCACGGTCGTCTTGCCGGCGCAGGGGCCTGTGGAGCGAGGCGAGGGGAGAAAGCGAAGGAAAAAGCGAGAAAGAAGAGATTCCGAGGTAAAAAGCATGACCATTCGTTACTCAAAAGTTCACTGGCAGGGCAAGACAAGGGTAGGTGCAGCAGGCTTACCACCAGTGAGCACGATTTTCAGCACTTCCGCCATTATTGTTTGTATTGCAAAGCTCAAAAAGAGTGACAAGCGCTCTGGCTTTGGATCTGGATTCATGTGTCAGCAGCAGCTGCATTCATGTTGAATGCCGACCTCTGAGTGCAGCGTTCTTCTTTGACGATATGCGTCTTAGCGTCTGCTCAGATAATTTTGTTTCACTTTTTCCCTTCAATTTTTGTTTCAACTTTCCAACAGAGTTTTTCAAACTCCCTCCTTCTCACCATCACTTCTCCTTTTTTGTTCTTTTTGAATTCCCCTACGTTTCCTTCTATGAATGTCTGGACGACTGAGGAAGGCGGCGTGATGCACAATGTTGGTCCATTGCTGCCGCCACTCAATCTGCCAGACCAACCAGCGACGACCGAGGGGTTGTCCAGTCGACGACTCCTCGTGAATACGTCCATCACGACTACCACTACTGATACTGATACTGCCGATACTACCGATACTGCCGATGCTGACGATACTGCTGCAGCGCCGCGCGGAATCGACGCCCTGCCAAACGAACTCTTCCTGACAATCTTTGCCTACCTCGACGCAGTGACCTTGTTCAGCTGCAGCCAAGTCTGCTCGCGTTGGCGCGGTCTCATGTCGTCGGCCGTCATGCTGCGCTCGATGGACCTCTCGCGGGACTTTGGCTCGGTGGCCTTGCTGACCCTCGTCGAATCGGCTGCTCCTGCTGCTGCAGACCTCCTTGCGTCATCAGCACTGCAGAGCGCCCCGTCGGATGCCGCCACCACTCGACTGGCAGCTGCGGCTGCCAATAGTACTAGCAATGCCTCGAATGCACCGAGCCATGACAGGGCAGCAGCAGGCACGGCACGCAGCCCCAAATTTCGCATCGCCTGGCGAAACTCGACCCGTTTGACACCGTTACCAGATCTCACCGGTCAAGTCGCCACAACTATTGCGCAGACTGTGGAAGCAGACTCGACACTGGCAAATAAGACCCCTGAGACTGCTACTGACGCTTTACCGCGGGATGCACACGATGAAGAACCACCCATCAAGATTGTACTCGCAAGACGATCTTCCAGTTCCCTGCCGTCGCAGTCGGGTTCGTCGACAGCGGTGCCTCCTGTTGAAGGCGTGCGCAATTCTACTGCTGCTGCTGCTGTCCCCACTGCTACCACTGCTGCTACTGCTGCTACTGCTGCTACTGCTGCTACGGCCCTTGTGGAGATGGCTCGCGCGCCTGAACTTTCCTCAAAACTCGCATCCATGCTCCTGGAAGCGGCTGCTGCGACGTCCTCGACGGCCATTTCGTCCGCTGCTCCTTCCTCTTCTAGCCTTGCCGTTATTGATGCTGCTTCAGGACCCTCAGCCAGGGTACCGTTGCACCACCGACCAGAGGGCGACATTGTCACCCAGCTATCTCGCTGGCTACTGCGGAGACACCTGCGACTCTTCTCCTCCCACCTGCGGTACCTTGACTTTTCGCATTCGCCGGCTTTCATCTCAGAGTCCGTTCTCTGTGCATCGCTGAGTGTCGCTACCGGGCTAGTGTCGCTGAACGTGCAAGGATGCACCATCACCAATCGAACCCTGTTTTGCTTGCCGCCTTCGTTGACACACCTGGACATTTCGTACTGCATGGGAATATCCGCCGCTGGAATCAACCACATTGCCCATGCGTGTCCCCAATTGCGCGTGCTCAAGTGCAAGCACGTGAGTGAGATGCAGGACTTTTCCCTGACCCACCTCGCCCTGTCTGGCCTTCGACTTTCGCATCTGGATCTTGAAGGATGTGGCCAAATCACCAATGCTGGACTCAGCGCCTTGCTCGTCGCGAGCGGTGGTGATCTCATTGATTTGTCGTTGCGGGCCTGCGATGGACTCGATGGGAGCGCCGCTCGCGCAGTGGCTCAGAACTGTCCCTTGCTCAAACGCATCGACTTGTCCTACTTGCCGCTGGTTGACTACGACGTGACTGTTCTGGCTTGCTCATGCCCTCGTTTGACCAGCGTTCGGCTCTGGCGCTGCAACCAGCTAACGGATCTCGCCGTGACCGACCTTGCCAACTTTTGCCCCTCCATCACCGAACTCGATTTGATGCACTGCAACAGAGGATTGATCAATCCGAGCATTCACCGGTTTCCAAAGCTTCGCAAGCTCGTTCTGTATGGCTGTTCGTCGGTGACTCCCGCCACCCTCGCTCTGTGCCTCGCAATGCCTGGGTTGGAAAACATCAATCTTGCCCATACGGCTGTCGATGACGACGCAATCGAGCAAGCAGCGCAAGTGATCAAGCAACAGTCCCACACTGACCAGGCAGACGAGAGTGTGTCAACGGTTGGCTCTGGCCAGTCGCTGCATTCGCTCACTCTGACAGACACAACGGTCGGAGATCGTGGCATTGCCGCATTGGTGCAATTTGCACACAAACTGCAAGTGCTCGTTCTCCGACGGAGCCCAGTCACGGATGCGTCTACAACGCTTCTTGCCTCTGGCTTTCCGCTTTTGCGCCAACTGTTCTTGAACGATTGCCGTGGCATCACCGATGAGTTTGCCAATCGATGGCCATCCGGCAGCCCCGTGCGCGAGCTCCACACCCGGGGCACGAACCTGAGCAAGCGCGGTGTTGCGTTGTTGTCCCATCACGCACAAGATGACAGATTGGAATTGAGTTGAGCGTTTAAGTGTCGTCTTCTTTGAGACTCTTGTGCACAATGTTTTTTTTTTGTTTTGTCAGTTAATACAATTGTTATTTCGAAGGTACAACCCTACACCATCGGTTAATCAAAATAATCTTCAACGTCTACGTCGGGATCGAGCAACATGTCCTTGAATGCAGACACATCCAGCTGATTCAAAATGAGATTTTCAAACGTTTCCTGAACAACAGAGAGTTGCGCAGTTTCCATCAGTCTTCCAGGTTCGTTTCAAGTTTCGCTATTGCGACAACAACAACAACAGCCACACAAGCTCCTGCATACCTCTAGATCTGTCTCGCCAATCAGGACGGCACCTTGAACGCACCCATTGGCAAGCACAAGCTTGATATACTCGTGCCCTCGTGTCACCCGCAGCAGAACCTCGTAGTCCCCAACGGCGAGTCCTTGCGCATTGTACAGCCCCAATAGCACTACCTTGAAGCCGAAAAACCGGGTGACGTGTGCAAATGCCTCAAAACAAAAGTCCAACAAGGCCAGCTCGTGTTTGGCCGCAGCTTGGATGCAACGCGCAGCATAGGCGCCCATTTGACGCGCCTGTGTCCACAATCGCAGCTGAAACCAGTGACTCGATGTCGGCCACTGCACTGTGCACACATCGCCCGCCGCAAAAACATCGGGCAGATTGGTTTGCATTTGGTCGTTCACTGCAATCCCGCCGTCCGACGCTCGCAGAATCTGTACAGCAAGGAAACCAAGCACCAACCTCCAAAATTCAGCGGCGCCGTGCAAATGACACAAAACCAGCCCACCACACGCGATCATACACACACCTCAGGACCAATAAAATCAGCGCACGGAACTACTCCGGTGGCCGAAACAACGACGTCGCAGCCGTAAACTCGATTGTTGCTCAGCACAACAATGGCAGGCCAGTCGAGGATGTCTGTGTCATTGTGCACAATAGCTGGGTGCTGCTGTCGGTATGCGACAAACTCTGCCGGAGACAGTACGGCACTAACACTTGTCGAGAGCTCGACCACTCGACGCGGGGTATCGATGCGCTCTCCGATTGGATGCAAGCGAGCCTGGTCTTGCCACCGTGGACCGAGCGCAGCCCCAGAATAGACTTCCATAGCAGGAGCTGTTTGGTTTGGCTCTGGAGGAGCCTGTGAGGAAGGAATATCGGAGACGCCGGCACGAGCGCTGGCCAGAGCGGCCTTGGCAGCGCGCTGTTGGAGTGTGTGCGGAGTGAAAATGGCGACACCATTCTCGGTTTCCTCAGGTTCTTCCGGCAGTCCATGTCGAAGTGTTGCCGTTGACTCGTTCTCGCTCATGCCCGCTGATTCCAGCTTGACATCCGACATGAAAAACGTAGCGGCACCCGCATCGAAAAAGCTTGTGCCAATGTGCTCATCGCGCACCGCCCAAACGACGTCGCAGAATTGGACTTCATGTCTGCAGCAATCCAAGGCAAAAAACAAATTTCAATCAGAATGAGCGATTGGTTGGGGGGGGGGCTGTCAAATCGATGACATGATGCAAACACGAGGCGATTACACAAGCTCCAGCGCAATGCCTCCATTGCCGACAACGACAACGCGCCGCGCACTTCCCAGCCGCGCTTGCAAATCCTGCATCAGAGAGATCCATACATTCGCACAGCTCAGTGCATTCGAAACCCCCCGATCAAAGGCACCACTTCCGGCATGACTGTACCTTGACGCTCTCCGTGTCGCGAATCCCGATGACGTGCTCGGGATGGGCGGTCGCGATCAGGTTGGGTCTCGCTCCAGCGCAGACACAGAGCTTGTCATACGCATGGCGCCGACCTGCCGTGTCCAGGACGGACTTGGCGCGTGTGTCGACGGAGGCCACAGTCGCGTGCACGATGCTCAGATTGGGATACTGCAGCGCGTCATCCAGCCAGCGCTCGACAATCTCGAACGTCTCGAGCGTCCGCGACAGCTGCGAAAAAACAAGCAAGGTCGAGAGTGTGCACAAGGCGCATGGAGATTGTCAGAGTCGTTGAAATGGAGCGATTGCGATCAGTGAGCATGCTGTTGGTTTCAGATGCGAATCTTTCGTATTCGCGTTGTCTCTCTGCTCATGCATGGGAAGAGTAGACGACGCACTGCTTGACTGCTTGGATGAGAGCAAGCAAACAAAAAGAAAGCTGCCCTTTTCCGTACCTGGTGAAAGTTGGCGACCGTTTTGAGCATTGGGGAGGCCGACAAGAGCGTAATTCGGTGTTCCGGTTGGTTTCGCCAGGCTACTGCGAGCGACTCTGCACATGTAGCACCTGCAATGCCGGATCCAATCACTACAACATGCATGTTTTGATTCTTGGAGTTTGAAACGCGCGAAATTTTCAACGAGATGGTCGAAAAGGAGGGAAAAAAAAAAAAAAAAAAGTAGACTGCAAACTCGCAAGCACGTCAAGTAGGACTGCATTCATTGTGCAGATTTGGCTGGGTTGTGACCACTTGTTCGGCAATCTTGATAGGATGGATGGTAGTTGAAGACGGGTCTTGGTTTTCGTCTGAATTTTGGAGCTGAAGTTTCGAATCCAACGACCAGGCCAATATCAAAACCGATTGTGCCCAGCAACATCAACATCTAAGGGCTTGTAGCTCATTTGGTAGAGCGCATCGTTAGCATCGATGAGGTCAGCGGTTCGACTCCGTTCAAGTCCATTTTTTTTGCTTTGGCTTTTTTTTTTTTTTTTTTTTTTTTTTTTTTTTTTTTCGTTTCGCTGGTTTGCAACTACGCGAGTGTCTCTTGCACTACTCGCACAATCTCAATCTTTATCAAGCTGATACTCTGCGCTTCATACGGTAGCTGTCAAACGCCGGCATCACGGATGGAACCATCACAGAAGACAGCGACGTGTTTCTGTTCGGTGCGCGTCGCGTGTATCGAAACTTTTTCAACCCGAACAAGTACGCCGAGTTTTACGCGAGTTCTGCAATCGAGAGTTACCTCGCGCTCGATAGAGAAAAGCTGATCGATCTTGCGCTGCTGCTCGGCTCCGACTACACTTCTGGTGTGGAGCGCATTGGTCCCGTCCTCGCCATGGAAATTCTCGGCGACTTTCCATCTCTCCAGGAGTTTGCGACGTTTCTTCATCAGTACAAGTTTGCGACCTCTGATTTGGACTTGGACGCTGTTTCGCCACTTCGTCGAAAGTTGGTAAGAAGGCTCCAGAACGACGAGGGGACGAGGGGGTCTAGGGGATGTGTTTCCGTGAAGTTTTTTCTCAACCCTTTCATCAAACACGAGATTCCGCAAATGTTTCAGCTCGTTGGGTTTTCCCGTCCCTGGTGCAGCAAATCCTCCATACTCTGCGTCACAATCATGCAAAGCAACACAGGCGACTGTTTGATGCCTGAAAGCAATTCTTCATTGATCTTGAATTTCTTTCACGCAAAGTAGATTGTGGATTTTGTAAGATCGTAGAGCTACCATCAACCGTTGCACATACATGTACAAAGCGTGCGCACTCCCCCCCTCCCCCAAGTCGAGGGATCGGGAAACACTTCATGCTGCACACTGGATCTAGCGGGTTGCGGGTTGAGCTGTCCATACGCAAGTGCGAAATCAGAGCCAAGTTTCGCCGAGACCCGTTTCCTTACTGTATCGCTGTTCGTTCGCGACCAGTTCCTCCGCCGCCAGCCACTCTGCTCGTCTGGATCCCCACACGCTTCATCCTCAACCCCCATCCAACACGATCGCATCTCACACTTTGTTCCGTTGCGGTGCTTTTTCTCTTTCTCATGGCAACATCGCAACATCACCCGACGTCCGTTTTTTTTTTTTTTTTTTTTGTCGGCGTTTTGTCACCATGCGCCGCACACACGCTTTGAGCTCCCGTCCTCTTCCCATCCTTCTTCATCTCGCGTTACGTCCTTCCGTGTGCGTTTGCTCCTTGCGTCTCTTTCCCCTTCCGTCATCTCTTGCTGTTGTGTTCTGATATCTCGGCGATTTTTTTGTGCCATTCCTTGCCGCTCTTTTTTTTTTTTTTTTTTTATCATTTTCCACGTGCGCGGCATTTTTGGCGCCTTTTTTTTTTTTTTTTATCTCTCTCTTTTCGTCCGGCTTTTGCAAGCATGACAACAAGCAACGAGCCACACACCCTATTTGTCCATTTGTCGACATGCACCGTCTTCAACCCTGACGCCTGCTTTGGCTTTTTTGGATGTTTGAGTCGCTCTCGATTCGCAATGCGAGATTTTCCATTTTGTTCGCTTTTTTTTTTTTTTACTCTATTTTTTTCTCCCAACATTTGCACACCTCTTTTTTTTTTTTTTTTTTTTTTTAATCTTGTTTTTGTGTGAAAGCGGGAAAAGGACAACATGCATTCACCAAAGCGTGGATCGACAAGCACAAGAATGACGACAGTCGCTGGTGATGGTGCTGCTGCTGCTGCTGCTGCTGCTGCTGCTGATGCGTCAGCGAGCACGACTCAGCCGCGTTTCGCACAGCCGTCGCTCCATCCCCACATGCCGTGTCATCGGCCGACCACCACCTCTACAACCACAGCCCCTGCCACCACAACTGCCACCACAACCGCAATGATGATTGAGCATTCACAAGCAGCGGCAGCAGCAGCAGCGACCGGGTCGTCGTCCACTACTGGCAACGAGGGAACAGAGTCTGTTGACATGCAGCGACTCACGCCGGCTGTTTCACCCGCAGCCAGTTGTTGCACATCACAACCGCACCCATCGCCCATCTCCCCTCATCCTAACAATAATAATCATCAACATCATCATCAACATCTGCAGCATCTGCAGCAGCAACAACATACCGCTGTGAGCATTGCTGAAAGACCTCCCGCGGCGGATGCGGATAACGTCAGCTGCGCGTCCGCCGTCACTTGCCGCATCTGCAAGCTGACCGAGGACGAGAGCGAGCTCCCGCTCATCCAGCCGTGCCTGTGCAAAGGATCCGTCGGGTTTGTGCACGCAGAGTGCCTCAGGGTCTGGTTTGGCATGGCAAACTGCTCGGCGCGAATCACGCCGCCAGAGCAGCAGCAGGAACAAGAGCCGGAGCACGAGGACGACGACGACGACCGCTCAGCAACAAGCCATGCTGCTGCTGCTGCTGCTGCTGCGAACGCCACGCCGTCAACCTCGTCGTCGGCATCTACATCGACGTACGTCTCCCCGTCGCAGTCCACGGAGCAGCTGCACCGCGTTTCAGACCACCACGTTACGGTCGTGATCGAGTCTGCCGCTGGCACACCTGCCCCATTGCCGAATAATTCGCATTTTGGCTCGGACAGCGACAGTGCTAGCGTGGACTCTGATTTTTCGTCAGACAGCTCGCTCGATCTCCCCGACGCGGTCGTCTGGGACCTCGACGAGGAGGAGGAGGAAATTGATCCGCTCGTCTTGCTGCAATCGCAAGAGTTTCGCTGCGAAATCTGCCACTTCCGCTTTGGCCTCGAGTTCCACCAACGAAAGTTCAAGCAGGTACAGATTGCTTTTTGTTTGTTTGCGAGATTTGCAATGAAGGGATGTATTTGGGATGATGGAGCTCAAAAGCAACACCAAAACAAAAACCGCTCACTTCTTTCTCTCTGTCCGTCTGCATCTTTTCAGTGGGACAAGCTCAAATTCACAAAAGGCGAAAAGCGACAGCTCAAGGCTAACGTGGCCTGCTACGCTTTGGCTGGCTTGACCATTGGCTGGACGACAAACACCTTCCTGCTGCCGCTCATCTCGGACGCGGCTGAAGGCTTCAACTACTACTTTATGGCCCTGCTTCTCATCGTCAGCTGGATTATCTGGCTTACTCTCTTCATCGTTCATCTCCGCTTTTACATTCGCGTCTACCGCCGATGGAAGTTGGCCAATCGCGACATGCACGTTCTGTCGTACGAGGAGGCCATCCGCTCGCGGGAAGCCCCTGCAGACGATTCGACGGCCTGCCCTAGTATGAACCCAACCGGCGACTCTTGCAAGAAGATGCGGCGAGCCAGTCGCGTGAGCTGCTCGCCATCCGAAGGCGCTGGTGTCGCATCCAGCTCGAGCTCCTCCGCCACTCCATACACCGCGGAGTGCGATTCCAGTGTCATTCCCATGCGAGTGCTTGGTCAATGAAAGTGCCAAGATGGATACTGCTGGCAATCACGCCCTCCTTCTCCAAAAACACACACACGCACTCTCTCTTTTCTTGTTAGCTGGATGTTCTTTTTGTCTCGTTCGTTATTGTATTGGATTCTGGTCTGTGCCTGGTTTCTAGTTGTTTCTGCTTGTTGGCATCTGGTATGCTTGCACAAGTTGTCATTGATGTTGTTAACACCCTCTTCAACAAAACGGTTTTTTTTTTTTCTCTCTCTCTTTAAACCGCGTCCATCGAACGCTGATCGGCGTCCATCGAACTTTGATAGAATCAAGCGTTTTCGATATTTAGAGACAATAGCGGTCAATTCGAAGCACAAAAACAATGCTCAGCATCAACAACTCAAAGCAAGTTAAGCAGACGAGGGTGCGCTTCCAAACCAGCGCTGCCAAAACCATGGCTGAGGGGCAGCCTCGCTGGCAGGCTCGACTGCTGGTGCAGTAGTAGATTGTTGGGGTGCTTCGGCTGCTGGCTTGGCCTATACAAAGGAAGGAGGAAACGAAAATGAGACTCGAGCGAGACACAAAAACAAACCAACGAGCAAAAACAAAACAAACAAAAAACTGCCGTAGCAAGCCCTCTCTCAGCCACTACGCTGCAAAGCCAGATCTTACAGATTCAGCAGAACGACCGAGATAACCGAGGCCAGGTAGCCGACCCGCTCGCTCTTGCGCGGCCTGCTGTCGGCGACGATTCTCGTCAATAATTCGCTTTTGGTTTTCCCGGAAGGTGGCAATCAGGTCTTTGCCTTCATACGCCTTGATGACTGTTCGGACGTCTGCAACGTTGTTGGTGGCAATCAGCTCGAGGAAGGGCAAAAGCTCGAACAGAGCGCGGTCGTTCGCCTCGCCCTGGAATGGCTTGATTTTGATGCCATTGTGCGGCTGCATCGAAAAGGCCTCCGCTTCGTCATCGATCAAAATGACACGCGCAAGGTCGCGGTTGAGCTTGGACAAGTCCTACATTGAGGTAGAGGCATCACCAATCGATACGTTAGTGTTGGGAGTTGTGGCTTACAGAGTCATCGAGCACCAACAAACTCGCCTTAATGTGCTTGCCGCCAGAGTAGCGAGTAGAGTCCTTGTACAAGCGATACAAGATATACCCTTGGGGATCCAGCTTGTCGAGAATGGGGTTGGCGTACTGCAAGGAAGGCAGAAAAACAAAGAGTCAATGTCCAATTCGCCTAGCAGGTGCGCGGCAAGATGACGGCCGCGATGATGTAACACTGCTGGAACACATACCGGAGGGTAGGCAGAGCTGAACACGATAATCTCGTACCAAGGCGCGAGGTGAGCGAACAGCAAATCGATGCCGGGGCGTTTCACAGTCTTCCAGCCACTAACACGCTGTGGGACGAAGGAGAATCCAACAGTCATAGAAGATTAGTAACCGACATCGATGGAGACAGCCCCCTCCCACCCCCCGCGCAAACCAAACGAAAACACAACGACAAAAACTAAAACCAAAAACAAAGCAAGCCGCAAAAGGACTCACATTCCACGACGAGTGAACAAGCGTGTCATCCAAGTCGAGAACCAGCGTGTAGGGACGGTTGTATGGAACGGGGAGCGGATCGGGCAGGAGCTTTTCCTCCTGGGATTCATTGAAGGTTTCAAAGAAGGCACGGAAGCGATCGGCCGAGCGCTTCAAGTAGGCGATCGGGACCCAGTCATCGGCGTAGACGTTCTTGGTGATTTCAGCCTGACGGAGACGGGCGTCTTCCGGATAGAGTGCCTGGAACAGGTCGTGGTGGCCCTCCACGCCGCCCATCATCCACGAGCCCAGCGCGGTGAGCAGCGTGCCGCCGGCGAGGGCGACCACCCGCGCGCCCGTGAGCACACGGCCAGAGCCAAACGCAGCCGTGCTCATGAAGCGGTTGCCACTCGTCCATAGGTCCAGCCCTGTGATGAGGACGAGGACGAGGACGAGCGGTTGAAACGGGCGCCAGTGGACGAGGCCCAGAGCGAGTACATTCGCACCGGTGCAGCAGCGGCAGAGACGCGAGCAGTGGCGTTGACAGCACTAGCAGCACTAGCAGCACTAGCAGCAGTGACGGGAGTGGCGCGAGTGGTGGCGCGAGCGGAAGTGGCGGATGCAGTCGCTGCCATGTGGACAGTGTTGCTGAACGCCGAGACAGGACGACGACCAGCAGCAGCAGCAGCGGCGGCGAACGACGAGAGGCCAGCCGCAGTCATCAGCGAGGCACCGGCATTCGTCAGTCGGAAGGACGATGGTGATGATGACGAGGTCAATGCAGTCGAAACGGCAGCACGCGCGACAAGCAGACGACGCATTTGCCGAAAAGACAAGAGAAGAGAGAATAAGATGGAGAACAATGACTGGGATGGGGAGGATCTCATCATAGAGAGATTGGAAGTGGAAATCATCAAAGTTTGTTTGTCTGAATTAAAGTGCGAGCCGGAAGAAGAGGAGGAGGAGGAGGACGGAGAGCGAGTTGAATTGGGAGTTTCTGGCTGCAAGTCCATTGAATCAAGGAGAGGATGGATGGATGAACGATCGTATGACTTGTCACTGCTGATGAATTCGTGCAGTTCGTAGCAGTAGCCCATGTAGTAAGTAGGTCACAGTCGTACAGAAGATCTCGAACCAGGAGTTCGTTGTTCGTGACCAAATCTGCCCCCGTTCAAGCTTCAAATCTCTGCTTTCATGCATCGTCACTCGTTTTTCCTCGTTTTTCTCTTTTTTTCTCTTCCAACATTTTGTCTGAACTTTTGGAAAATTTTCTCAGTTTTTTCGCTCTTTTTCGCTCTTTTTTTTTTTTTTTTTTTTTTTTTTTTTTTTTTTTTCGCTTTTTGTCAATTTTTTTTTTAATCCTTTTTTTTTTTTTTTTGTTTTTTTCCAATCCAAATTTTCACTTCAATCAAACACAAAAACAAAGCAAAATCCAACTTTGAAACTCAGCGAAGGTTTTGTCTTTCACTTCAAAGTCTGCATTTTCAACAAAACAAAACACAAAAAACCGATGTCGAGCGCGGCGCCGTACTCTGGCGGCAGCGGCAGTGGCAGCGCAGGAGGAGGCAATCTGGACGCGTCGGTCGCTGCCGTCGTTGGCGGGCTGATGGTCCCTGCTCCCGTCGGTTCAGCCGACAACAGCAACAGCAGCAACAGCAGCAGCATCAGGCGCGACGACGGCGGTCGAACGACCTGCGCGGGGACATGCTCACCAAGCACAAAGAGTTTCTCAAGAAGATGACGATGGGCGACACGGGCCTTCCCGCCAGCATCCCCGTCGCAGACGCCATCTCGGCAGCAGAGCTCGAGGCTGAAGCGCTCTACATTGCCGCAGAGTACCTCAAATTCAGGCAAGTGGCGCGCTCGCTCGCTCGGTCTCACCTCATTCTCATTCTCAATCTCGCTTCAACAATCTGGTAGCAATTCTCAATTCTCATTCACTCACCGTTGGTTTTTGTTTCACCCCCCCCCACACACACACACACTCTTGTTTTGAATCGGTCGCTCGCTCAATTTCACAGAGTATCGACGCTCTCAGGTGTGCTGCCAGACGCGTACAATGACACGCTCAACTCGCATCGAGCAGGCTCATCATCATCATCATCCTCGTCTTCTTCATCCGCGTCCTCATCCTCGTCGTCGCGGGACAGTCGCAAGCACCAGTCCATGTACACTCCGCCAGTGGCGTCGATCGAGCAGGTTGCTGTTGATCGTCCTGCAGGGAGGTCTTCAAGTATGATTGGTGCCGTTGGACCGGCGTTCAATTCGCTGCCGGCAGGATTCCGACCGAGCTCATCCTTCCCTGGAAGTTCGGCTCCGTTCAGCAGGTCGAACAGCAATTCAACCAGCTTGGAAACGTTCGGCAACTCGCCGCTCCCAGGAACGCCAGAGGTCGGTGAAAGCCCGCGCGCCTCGTTCACCTCGATCTCTAGCGTCCAGCTCGAGCCGTCGCACTGGATTGTGAATGCCAGCACGTTCCCGAGTCTAAGCCGGCTAGTCGTGGATCAGCTCGAGCAAGCCGACCTGTCGCAGTTCAAACTAGAAGATTCGAGTGAGCCTTGTTGCTGCTGCAGTTCTGTTCGTTGTGCCTTGTGCGTTGCTGGACTCTAACGTGTTGCCAACTTTCTTTGACAGAGAACGACAACATGTTAGACGGCCGAGCGATCGCGCGCTGGGTTGTAGATAGTATTGAAAATGCCCTCAAAGCCAGCGAGCCCTCTTCGCGTCGCGGCTCCATTCCATTGTATGTTGTGTTTTTGCTTTTTTTTATATATAATTTGTGGTTGATGTTGTAGCCTGTAATTCTCACATTGCGCTCCATCTTTTGCTGTGCTTGCGGCAGACCACCCTTCAAGTTTGACACGCATTCTTTTGCGGCTCAGGGCAAACGGTCGACCATGGAGGATCGTCATGTCGTGATTGAAGATCTTAACACACTAATGGGCTTGGATGTACGTGCGGTTCGTTTGGGGATTTATTTCTGACGGTAACAAGAACTCATCCGCTTACTTGGTGTACACCTCTCCAATTGCGACAGACCCACCCAATGCAAGCCTACTTTGCCGTGTACGACGGACACGGTGGTGTCGATGCGGCTGCATATGCAAAAAATCACGTTCATGTCCAAATTGTTCGAGATGCCGCGTTTGCTGCCAAGCCCGAAGACGCTGTCAAGAGTGGCTTTGAGCGCACCGACGCGCTGTTTCTTGAGCGAGCCAATCGCGAGGTAGTAGAGGCATTCCCCCCCCCCCTTCCTTTTTGAACATGTTTTCCGATTCTGTGTGGGTGCGTTGGTGCATTGCTAACCTTGGACTTTGACTTGCCAAAATTCAGAACTGGTCCAGTGGTGCCACATGCGTGGGCGCCTTGGTTCGGGGGACCGATCTCTATGTCGGCTGGCTGGGAGACTCGCAGGCTGTGCTCGCACGCAACGGCGCCGGGATTTTGCTGACAAAACCGCACAAACCCAACGACGAGGTTAGTTTTTGCTCGCAGTGCTGTGAACAACCTTCTTCTCTCGCGTGCAAAATCCATGTTCATTTTGACGCGCGCTCCGTCCCACAGGCTGAAAAGGCTCGCATTGAAGAATCCGGTGGCATGGTCTTGTTTTACGGCGGATGGCGTGTTAACGGCACGTTGGCGGTCGCCAGAGCCATTGGCGACAAGCAACTGAAGGAGCACGTCATTGGCACTCCAGATGTTGTGCACGAGGTTCTTCAGCCCGGTCGCGACGAATTCCTCATCCTGGCGTGCGACGGACTGTGGGACGTGATGGATGCCAACGGCGCCGTCCATTTTGTCAGCGAGTATCGCGCTCGAACGGGCTTTGGCGATGGTGTTGCCGAGGCTCTGGTGGAAAAGGCTTTGCAGCTCGGCTCGACCGACAATGTCTCGATTGTTGTTGTGTTTTTCGACACGCCGACGCAACGCGCCGCCTCCCTGAGTTCGCTGAACAAGGAACCTGCACGACATGCGCAAGTGACTCAAGCCATGAATATGTAACAACTTTTGGTTGTTGCTGTAGCTGTTGATTGTCCGTTTTTCTTTTTGTTTTGTTTTTTTGTTTCTTTGGTGGATGTTGGATTTTGTGCGTTCGTTCTTCCATACCTCGTTTCTATGTAGCCGCGAACTTGTGTGATTTTGTTGTATCATTTTTTCGTTACTTGTGTTTTTTGGTCTTAAGATGTCATAAATGATTGTGATTAACTAGTCGTAGTCGGGAATTTCATCTTGTTCAGCTGGTGCCGGCGGTTTCCACACTTTGATCAGCCCGTCCACTGCAGAAGTAAGCACGCTAGGTTCGAAAGGGTGGTGCGAGACGCCTTGAACAGCTCCTTTGTGCGCGGCGATGGTCTGAATAATTTTGGCCTGCCATCGTCAAAATAACGCACAAGTTGGAGCCAAGGGTTCTCCACACGATTGAATACTAGGCCAGATATGTTGTAGACAATCTTCTTGCACGGCGTTCGATAATTACCTCAACAAGGCTCCAAACGAAAAGCTTGCCATCCTCGGATCCGCTCAGGACATGCGAATCGTTGAGAGCAAACGTACTGTCCAGCTTATAGGACTCGTTAACGTGGCCGGAATATCTATCAAGAATCGAGCGAGAATCGAACATTAGCATCCGCGCACAAGTTCCAATCAAATCATTGTAGGAGGCTTACGTTCCGAGCAGCTTTCCGAGGTCTTTGTCTAGAAGCCGCACAGCGCTATCAAGAGTCGAGGCAAGAATGCAGTTTCCATCGCTCGAGAACCGCACGGAAGTAACAGGAGCTGCAAAAACGCGCAGAGGTGAGTGCAATGACAATGACGGCATGGGCAAGCCACCACGCATATTTACATCCAATGGTATCAGTTGTCACTCTCCCAACTCGGACGTCGTAGATTCGAATAGATCCATCAACCGATCTGGCATGTAAACTCCAAAGTCAGAAAATCGCTGCCAAAGCACCATCCTGAATTTTCATGACTCTTCGTTCCTACCCGACAACCATTTCATGATTCATGATATGAATGCTACATATGCTATCCTTGGCTTCTTTCATGGTTTGTACGGGATCGCGCATATTGGATCTGCAGCGAAAACAAACAAAAAACAAACACCAAATCAGCGAGGACTCATGGTGCCCTACAAGCTCATTCAAGTGTGAGATACGACACTTACTTCAAGTCCCAGATGCGAACTGTAGCATCATATGATCCTGCAGACAAAAAAAACCCCGGCAATCACAAATGTGCAAAAGTGAGAAACAGCCAAAACTGACACAAGTCGAAGAAACCCAGAGATGGCGCGACATCCACAAACCTGATACAACTACCGTATTATCTGCATTCAACCCTAAACAATTGACACGCTGCAGGAGCACACGGTGTTGAGTTTTCAGCCAAAGTTTGACTCGCTCTCGTTTCGCATCGAATGAGCACGTACCGCAAGATGCCCACGTAACTTGCGCAGTATGTTTCCACTCGCTACATCCCATTGAATGACGGTCTTGTCGCCGCCGCATGAAACAATCCACTCGTTGTTGGACGCTCTGCGATGATTTGAAACACAAAAAAACCAAATCCAGTAGTGAAAAGTTAGATTTCCCATCAGATCGGCCGATTCTCCGTGGTCACAGGCTCCATAGGTTCACAAGAGATTGATTTCGATTCATTCCACACAGAATAGTCATGCAGTGGAAAGGTTCTGAGCATTTTTGTGATCTTGTCTCAGAATTCCTTACGTTGCGAGGTCGAGCACTTCGTGGCCATGTCCAATGTACGTCTTGAGCAGCATGCCAGAGTGTGGATTCCACAGATTGACTGTCTTATCTGCACCGCCCGACACGCAGTACGTTCCAGCCGCTGTGTGCCTCATGAAACCGATGTGAATGAGTGGACTCGTCCATGACCAACCCCCAACCCCCGCCCCCTCAACTCATTCAAAGATCAGAGTCTGATCGCCAAGTTCAACATCAATGCAACGGTCGAGTTACGGTTGAAGCGGACGGCTGTCACGGCGCCTTGGTGGCCCTTCAGCGTTCGTGCTGGAGTCGGATCGAACATGCGCGTCGTGCGAACGTCACTCCAAACGTAGACTGAGACTGAAATCCTCATTCTCAAATTAAGCATGGAAAAAGAAAACAAATTGGCTCGACAAGAACAACTGGGGAGAACAGAGATGGAACATAAATTTTTCGAAAACACGCACGGAAGCATTCACACAGAAGACGCATGGTGCAAAGCAAGAAACACAAACAAATGCAACACAAAATCATGCAGAAAGCAAAAAGACAAGTACGCCACGCGAAAAGTCGGCTTTGAGTTTTGGTCTTAATGGTCGAGGATGCGGAGATTGCCGGAAACAATCTTGTTCTCGAGCACTGCGCCAACGGGAATGTCAATGCGATCGCCGTGGTGGCACATGATGACAGTGCCCTGTTACCACCAGGAGAGAGTGAGCAGATCGAACAAGCAAAAAACAAAAGGTTAAAAAAAAATCAACAGCAATTGATCCACTGAAACTCGTGCTCTCACCTTCAGGGAGACATGACGGCCAAAGGTGACATCGCCAGTCACTGTCAAATGGTCCAGCTCGAGAATGTCGGGAATCGTGGCAAAGCGCGCCAAGAACTTGGAAACCTGTGGAAAAACCGGGTCAGTCATTTCTGCAAAACAGAACAGTCACACGAAACCTTGCACGAGCCCGTCGGTCTCCTTACCACGCGGAACTCGTCACCCAGCTTGACGAGGGGAACCTCGAACAGACGCTTTGGATTCATGACGAGCGTGCCCTTCTCCTGGTGGTATAGATTGGACTTGACGAGGAACAAGTCCGACGTGTTCTTGACGGGCAAGAAGCGCGAGCGGGGCACGTTGATGCCAATTGCATTCTCAAAGTGTTTCATGGCCGAGCCAACAGCCGTTTCGAGTTGGATGACGTTGACACCCGACTCCATGTTCTGCGGAAAAGGAATACAGAAATCACAAAAACAAGGTTGGCGGGCCAGCTTCCGCAAGCGTCTTTATCAATCTGTGGGGTCTTACCTTGTGGTTGACAATAATCTCAAGCTCGAGCTCCTTGTTGGTGACCACCTTCTTGATGGCGGACATCTTGATCCACAGATTGTTCGTATTGAAGATGCGGAACTTGGTGACGGACTTGAAATCGTCGATATGTTGCTTGGGCACTTGTGCGATTTCAAGCAGTCGGGTCTTGCCTTCGTAGTCGATCAGCGTGCCACCCTTGATGTCGGCGCGGGTCTTGTCGGTGACCTGCGGCGGTAAAAGCGCACAAGGATGAAGTTGGGTGAAAGTTGCAAAAACTCAAAGGCTACATCCTCCCAGCCGAGCCACGCGCTCAACCAAAAAAGCAACGTACCTCCATCAAGAACTCGCACTTGGGTGCCTGGTTGATCAAGTAGTTCAGAATCGAGGTATCGACGGTGGCGCCGAGGTTGTCCACGTTCGAGATGAAGGCGTACTGACGGCCTTGCAAGAGCAGCGACTCAAAGAAAGGCGCAGCCACGAGTGATTCGTAAATGTCACCATGGCCCGGAGGGTACCTGTTTCGGAGACACAACGCAAACATGAGCACAAAATTGGACAAAGGTTGCAATTGTCCATCACAGACATAATTCTCATGGGAAGAAAGGTCCAAGCACACACACACATACCAAGCTTCGTGATCGAGGTAGTTCTTGGCCACAGGGAGCAGGGTGTCCTTGCTGATGCGGGGGAACTTGCTTTGGTTGAAGGTCAGAATCGTGACAGTCGAACCGTGGTACTTTTGGATGACGTGATCCGTCTCCTCGTGTGTGTTGAACGAGTTCATGAGAATGAGCGGCACGTTCGTGTGGTAGCGGTTGTTGAGGTACTGAATGCGGAAAGATTGGCGGAGGTGAGAATTTCCGGCACCACTCACAAAGTCGCGCTTCACAAAACGACAGGGAACAAACAAAAAATAGACCTACTCGCCAATTTCACAACAAAATCCTCCATGATGCACGTACCTCGATCTGGCGCACAGTCATATCAAGGAAGGTCATGTCGTCACGAACATCAATGACAGACTTTGGGCCGACGCAGCCCATCGTGGTGCCGAGACCACCGTTGAGCTTGATGACCACCAGCTGGTCAAGCAACCCCTTGATGTCGTGGTCGTTGGGCTTGTCGAGGCTGGCATACGGCAGCACCTGCACAACAAAAGTAAAACTGGTTAGTTAACCAAAAAAAAAAATCCGAAATGCGAAATCGGTGTCCGTTTTTGATCTTTGAGCTTGGAGCAAACAATCGAACGTGCCATGTTTGCAGCCGGAGGCTTGATCTTGTCCCACTGGATTGTCTGAGCGCCCTCCTGCAGGAATCGGCGGAAGAGGCCCTTGAAGCTGTCGAGCTGCACCGTCGCCTCCTGCAACATTTGGAAAACAGCAGAAACACAAATGAGCAAACAACAGAGACAAGGAGGCGAGGACTATGGTGATATGCTTCTATTTTGCCCCGCAATGAGTCACAACTGCTCAGACGAAGCGCGTCCCAGCGTCTCAGTTTTCTGGCTCACTCACTCACTCGCTCACTCACTCCCCCTACCCCTTCTCTACCACAACAGCCTTCCTATACGAAACCCACTAACGCTCTCCGCTCAGGCGGTCGCAAAGAGTGTGCACTGCTCAGTGACTTTGCTTCACTGTCATCAAACGCAGACAAAGTCCTCTCCAATCCCCAATCCCAATCCCCAAACCAGAGACACCAACTGGGTTTGCGTTTTGCCCCACAATGCTTTTTCTTCAATGGAGCTGGTCGTGACTGAGGGGGGTGGGTCGTGAAGTGCGACTGTGAACTGTGGTGAATGAACAACAGTGACCGAAGCCGTGCGATTCGACTTCAGTCTGCGTTCAACTGCACATTCTAATTCTCACTGGGTACTCTGTGCTTCGTAGTGTGTCTCTCTCTCTCTCTCTCTCTCTCTCTCTCTCTCTCTCTCGCAGGAGCGGGGTGCCTGCAGTCTCGATGAGCCGCGCACAGTCGCGCGCAATGTGAGTGCTCGCGTTGTCCAACTTGGTCTCGGAGAGCGTCGACATGCTCGGCGACCGCGGAACAAGCCCGCCGCGGCCAGTCGGCTGGTGCAGCTCAGTGCCGACAGAACAAGCCCGCCGCGGCCAGTCGGCTGGTGCAGCTCAGTGCCGACAGCGCGCTGGTGCAGCGGGTGCAGCGGGTGCGGCTCGCCACCACCATGAGCGGCGGTCGACGAGGAGGGCGAAGACGAGGAGGGCGGGTTGGACATTAAAAAAATAAAAAAAAAATAAAAATAAAAAATAAAAAAAGAACAGTGGGTTTGCATTGGGATTGTTTGGGGATTTTTGTGGATTTTTGTGGATTTTTGAGAGCAGAATAACTCGCTGCGTCCTGTTGAGCGGTTGGAGCAGTAGGGACGAGCTGCTTTTTGAAAAGTGTGAATGGAGGGGGTTGGGGGGAGGGAGGGGAAAAGATCTCCAATTGAAAGCCGGAAAAAAGTGTGCGAGAGCATCTGTGCTGCTGAGATGAAGGGGTTGGAAGGACAACCAAACTCCGTTTGTTAACACAGTGAAAGCGTTCGATAGAACGCTGAATGGAGCGATGCACATGAACAGTCGGGTGAAAGTTCTATTAACGAAAGAAACAATGCAAAACAAAAAGAGCACGCAGTCTCAGTGTTCCATCGGGGTGGTGTCGACGTCTACTGCTGCTGCTGCTGCTGCTGATGATGATGATGAAGACTCTGACACAGGGACAGAAGCTGCAGCTCGGGCAGAGGTCGACGCACCACTGGCTGCTAGCCTCTCCAAGTACTCTGCCTCGCTCAGCAGGGCAATTGCCTTGTCGCCCTCTTGGCGCTTTGGCGGATACTTTGGTGGAATGACGAGCGCTAGGTATCCGGCTGTGGTGGGATGCGTTCTTAGCAAGTCTGGCTGAGCAAGAAGCCGTTCGTTAAACTCGACAATCGCGCCGTAGATACAAATACGAGGTCGGAAGACGCGCCCGTCGCTCATGGTCACTTCGGCCAACGTGGTCAATGGCTGCTGCGCATGTCGCGACTCCATCTTCTTTGGCCGGATGAGCGGCAGCGCTGCAAATTTGACAGAAACGACCGTTGATGCTTCGGCTCCCTCCGCGAGAGTTCCGGTTACTATCGCGTGTGATGGCGCTATGCCCACCAGCTGGAGCTTGTTATAATGCTCAAACACGTACTGGTGGCATCCTTGGCCCTGCACATCCATTGCGTACTTGCGCGTTTCAAACGCCTTGTCCGCGTGCCTCGTCTCCGGGGTTGTTCGGAGCCCCTCGTTTTCATGATTCAGCGCTCCAGTCGCATCAGCCGTTGTAGTAGTCGCAGTAGTAGTAGTAGTAGCGGTTGTCCGAGCGACGTTCGGGCAGTCCTGCCAGATCGACGGGGACACGAGGATCAGTCCCTGCTTTTGCGCTGCGTCGTGGAGCTGCTCGATCGACCATCCCAGCAACGCCTGGTCTGTTGAGTATGCGTGGAGTGCATCTGCGTGGTGGCTTGACGGCGTCGCTTGAGTGAGCTCGACTGGACTGTGCTCGCGTCCGTCCTTGTCCAGCAGAAACACAATCTGATCCATATGTTCTCAGCGTTTCAGTCAAAACTTCACAAGTCGACAAACAAAAAAATACAATAACGACTGATTTCATTTTCAGATTTGTCGTTTTTCTGAGATGTTGAAGTTTGGTCTGACATGCTCAGTTTCATTCATTCGTTCGGCGCACCGCTCAGATCCACTCATGCTTGCCTGCGTTTTGCTGTACCACGAGTTCACACACTTTGGTCAATCAAAGCAACGACTTCCAGTACAACCATTTGTGTGTGGGACGACTCGTCTTCTCAGTTTCTCAGACGCTGCTTTCCCGTTTCTTTTCAATCCCCTTCTGCTTCCTCTACTCCTCAGTAATTTTGTTTCCCCCACCCCACCCACCTTCACACAAATCCTTTTATTCAATTCTTCAGTCCCTCTTCCGCTGCTGGATGCCCCCCAGTCTCCTGTTGTCCATCCCAAAGCGCGGCCACATGAACTTCCGACAGCGTTTCGCGTTTGTGTTTCTGATACTGAGCTTCATTGTGTGGCTCTATCTCCTGAGCTACATCTTTGACTGGCATGCAGTCTACACGGATCTCTCCAAGAGCCAGCTCGACGAGTACCAGCAAGCGATCGACAGGCAAGCTCAGGTACAAACGCGCACAGTGCAGTGTGAAGCAACCCAAACGGTTTGACGATGGGAGTAGCGGGGTCGCCTTCTCCACCGCAACCTCAACCTCACTCTGTATTGCATCGCATTGACTTGCATTGACTTTGGATTGAACTGGCTTTTTTTGCGCTTGTTCGGCAGCTGTCGTGGTCGTTGTCCACTCGCGCTTGGCTCTCGTCGATTCCATTCTGGGGCTGGTGCCTCATCATCGGCATCCCGTTCCTCCAGCTCATGATCTTCTTGTGGGTCCTCACACGGCCAAACCCAATGATGCCGTTCGCACGAGGATGAGGATTTTGCGACGACGTGTTCATTGTTAACGTTTTCGGTGGTTCCATTACAAAATTTTCAGACTTACTTTTTGACTTGACTTGCGTTACTGGGAATTCAGCAAATGGGTATCAACATATCACGTAGTTTGATGTCGAACTACCGTGAGATTCGCATTTGATGTGGTATTGGGTTTTGCTGGGCGGAACCGATCGGATTGAGCTGTTCCCTCGGTCTTCCGTCTGTTTGGCACTCAAACACGCTCTTTCCAGCAAAAGGTGCAAAACTTCATGCTGTCGGCAAAAGAAAGAAACCAGAAAACGGGTCTGTGTTGAAAACACGTCACAACGAGAACAACAAAAGCGCGGCACAGCACGCCGAAAAAAAAAAATGGCAAACACGAAACACTGCAACAAAACTACATGCCATCCAACGTCAAGCGGAAGAATACACACGCGCCGACAAGAGATGGCAAAGGTAGAACGTAGGCAAAAAACAAAACACAGAAAAGAGACTACATCGACAACAACAACACATCGACGAAAAAGAGGAAGCAAATGGCAATCAGATTAATAAGGGAGGAAAAGAGCATCAGGATAGTGGGGAAAAAAGAACTCGTGTGCACTTAGAACAGCGAGTCCTTGTTCTGCACCAGCACGAGCACAAGCTCGGCTTGCTGCGGGAGCTTGGACTGGTCCAACAGATCGGCTCCACGCAAAATCAGCGGCCCAAAGATGTTAGCCAGCGTTTGCAGAGCATTTTGCGGAGACTCGATGCTCGCCGAAAGACTGGCAAAGCAGCAGAACAAAAACAACATGCATAGAGGCAAGTCAGAGTCTGCCCATGCTCACACAACGTAAACAGCAGATTAAAGTTGAACACTTACACGGCACAATGCTGGACGCAACGCTTGAGCGCTGCGATATGCTCAGCAGGGAGTTTTGAAATCAGTCCCGACAAAGCAGCCACGCGATCAGAGGTACGACCTAACAACAAACAAATTCCCCCTCCCCAGAAAAGTCAGTCAAAAGCACGAGACAGAACATAAACCTCAGCACCATTCAGCACGCCAACGTACGCGCAGCATCGTAGAAAGACGACTGGAAGGCAAGCGGAATCACGGCGTCGGGCAGCTTCTGCAAGAAGCGGCGAAGCAGCCAGCAAACAGCATTAATGTCCGCGGTGCTCAGCGTTGTTTGAAGCAGCGCTGCAAGTAGTAGGATTCAAGCGAGTCGGTCAGCCATCAAAATCCAAAAATCAATCGCACGAATCGCAAGATGCAAAGTTGCTGGCCTCACCAGGCTGGAATCCGTTCTTGGTCACTTCATCCTTGAGCAGAGTGTTGGCAGTTGGAGCAGCTGCAACTTTGTGCACACTCTCACGGCCGAGCGCTACATGGAACAGACAACACATGCATCGGAAGAACCAGTTAGAATCAGTAGCGTGTCTTGCATTCGACTGTAACATAAAAAGGTACATACCGCGAATCTCAATCTGGGTGGCAGCGAGATCAAGGAAACGAGAGAGCGGGACTCGCTCGGCCTTTGCAATGTCCTTGAGCGACATCTCCAAGTAGGAAGCGGCGGGCACTACATCGGGAAAAAAATAAACAGCAACGAGGTCAACATCATGCATCAAAATTAGCTGCAAAGCAACAAACACTTAAACGGATCCCTACGTGGCGCAGCGTTCAGGCCTTTAGGAAGGGAAGGTTTGGGTGGTGCAACAGTGGAGATGGTTTGTCGAAGCGGCTCCTGTGTCACGACCAAATCGAACAAACCATTGTCAGGCCCGACAAACCTATCAAACTATTTTTTTGTTTCGTTGCAACGCAGAGCGAACGATACGTACGGGTTGACTGTCAAAGTCACCGTCTTTCATCTTCTCCAGTTGTGTGATGGCATCCTTGCTGCCATTGTCACGCGCGCGTTCAAACCATGAGCGTGCAGTTGGAACATCACGAGCCACGCCGTCGCCATGAAGGTAAAACCAGCCCAAACAGAATTGGGCATGGCCATCGTTCTGCTCGGCACTTCGCGAGTACCTGTGGAAGGAAGTACAAATACCCAAACCAGTGAGCACGGTTTGCACACACAAACAAACGCACACACACAAAAACACAAAAAACCATGTTGTTCACACTCACCACTTGATCGCTTGTGCCACATCCCGCTTAATCACATTGCCGTTGGCATAGTACCAGCCAAGATTTCGCTGCGCACGACTGCTGTTGCCAACCTCGGCAGCTCGCAAAAACCACTTGACGGCCGCTTGGTGATCGACAGGGACGCCCCAAGTGCCGTCACGGTAGACAGCACCGAGTTTGACCATGGACTCGACGTCGTTGTTGAGAGCGGCAGCTTGATACCACTCGAGACAAGTGGTGACATCGGCGGCGGGGTGCTGCGAGTCTGGCGAATAGTACCATGCCAGGAATGTCTGTGCTGTGAGTTCGTTCTGCGCAGCCGCGCGGAAGTACCACTTGAGCGCCTGCTCCTTGTTGACTGCAGTGCCATGTCCTTCGTACAGGCACCAGCCGAGGTTGCGCTGGGCGCGCGCATGTCCGCGCAGCGCAGCGTTTTCATAGCACTTGAAGGCGTGCGCCATTGACTTTTCCACACCAACACCATCACGGTAGCAAGCGCCGAGCCAGCACAAGCCCTCCAAGGAATCGTGTTTGACGGACTCGATGAACATTCGGAACGCAGCGGGTTGATCGCGCGGGAAGCCAAAGCTTCCGTCCATGTGGCACTGCGCAATGCGCGAGATTGAATCTCCGTGGTTTTGTGCACGCGCGGCAGTGTAGTACTCCAAAGCACGGGCGGGGTCCTTGGTGACGCCGCACAGGCCCAGCTCGTGGCACTGACCAAGCTCATACAGGGCGCCCGCATCGCCGAGCTCGGCGCCCTCGCTAAAGAGGCGCAGCGCCTCAGCCACATTCTCCTTGACGCCTGTGCCAGTCTTGTAGCAATGGCCAACCCAGCGCAAGCTCGACATGTTTCCGGCGCGAGCAGCGCGGAAAAAGTAGCGGAATGCATTGTTTCCGTTCGCAGGCATGTCGATGCCATGCAGGTTGCGCATGGCCAGCTCATACAAGGCAATGGGGTGGTTGCCGTCGCGGGCTGCTCGCTTGAGCCAGTTCAGTGACTCGGTCAGGTTTTTGGTCGCGCCACCCGAGCCAGTCAAGTGGCGAAGCGCCATTTGGTACTGGGCCTCGGGATCGTTGTCCTCTGCCAAGTCCTGCAAGTGTGCAAGGTTTGCGTCGAGGTAGAGCTTTGGAACAGTGTGAGGGGCAGCCTCGCCCAGGACCAACGTCTCTGGAATCGGAGGAGAGACGTTTGGCGCGGGTGTGGCTCCGCGAGGCGTAGGTGCCAACGCGGCCGAGGCACCCGCTGCCATCGATACCGGTTGCTGGCCAGGCTTGTTGGCAGTCGGGCGCGAGGGAGCAGCCAAGGGCGCCTCAATCAGCATGGAAGGCGACCTCGGCGCAGCTGGTTCCGCGAGTTTCTGGACGGCTGGGACGCGGACACCAGGACCAGGAGAAGCCGGCAGTGGCCCATTGGGCACGGCAGAGCTCAAACGTGATGCGAGCGCAGCAGGCTTGGCAGGCACCGGAGGCAGGGCAGCGCTGTCCGGCAAGCTGGCAGCCAGCTCGTAAATGGCAGCCTCCTTCTCGTTGGGCAGCGTCGCTGCGGGCCGGTTGGGCAGCAGCATCACCTTCTTCCTGGGTGCAGTGGCGGGCCCTTGTCCTCCAGTGGTCTGCGCCGCCTTTTGTTGCTGCTGCTGCTGCTGGGGCTGTTGAGCTGCTGCAGGATTCAAATTGGACCGCGGAGGAAGCGCTGGTGATTGCTGCTGTTGTTGTTGCTGATGCGGTGTGGGCCCAACAAAGTTTCGCTCGAACGCGACCTGTGCGCTTTGCACCGAAGGCAGCGCGTCCAGGATTTCGTAACCACCAGAGTCGCGGGACGCAATCTTGCGCTCCGAGGCGCGCAGGCTGAGCTGATGGCGGGAAAGGGGTGCCGCCTGGTCTTGACGGTAGGCATCAAAGCGTTGAGGCAAGGGTTCGGGGTGGATGGAATCGCCCTTCTTGTTGATTTCCTGGCAGTACTCGACGCTTGCAAGCTTGGTCTCGAGCTGCGTGAGCTCGCCGACAAGCTCGGAAAACTTGGGGCGCTTGGAAGGGTTGACATCGCAGCAGCGCTCAATCAGCTCCTTGAACTTTGGCGGGCAGTTCTGAATGTGGGGCTCGACCGTGATGGCCACGCCAGACTTTTTCAGGCGCGTAATCTCCATGATGGCCGTTTCCTGGTCGGGAACGACCTGCATGGTGGCCAAGTCGCAGAAGAGCAAATCACGGTGCACGACTTCCCAGATGATGCAGCCGAATGCATAAACGTCGCAGGCCTCGTTGACCGGGGCGTTGCTGGCAAACCACTCGCCAGCCGAGCGGCTTTGGGAAACCAGCAGCTCTGGGGCGGCGTACAGGACGCGGCCGAGCGCAGCATTGATCATGCCGAGGTCACGCTGGTGCTGCAGCTTGTCATTGGCTGCCGAGGCCTTGTTTGACGCGCTGCCCGCACCGGGGCCGGGGCTCGTGGGAGCCTGCTGACGGAAGCGCGACAGGCCAAAGTCCGACACTTTGACGTGCAAGTCCTGGTCGAGGAGCAGGTTGGAGGTCTTGAGATCGTTGTGGATGATTGGCGGAGAGTGCTTGTACAGCGCGGCCATGCCGAGAGCAGCCTCCTTGATGAAGCGGGCTCGGAGCTTCCACGGCACGTCGAGAATGTTGTCGCGTTGGGTGACCATGTAATCATACAGGCTGCCTCCGGCGCAGTTTTCCATAATCAAGCAGCGGTTGCCCTTCTCTGCGCAGACAGCGTACAGCATGACAACGTTCTTGTGGGAGAGACGCTCCATCACCGAGACTTCATGCTCAAACTCTTGCAGAGCAAGCTTCATGCCCTCGCGGCGCTGCCGTGCCTCCTCCGAGTCGTCGTCGGCCTCAACAAAGCCCGCATTGTGGCCGGCACCAGCGCCACCACCTGCGCCGAGCTGGTGGTTGAGATGGTTTGCGCGGTGGATGAGATCCTTGATGGCGAGCTTCATGCCCGCGTCGCCGGAAGGGATGCCGGGCGAATTGAGCATCTTGACGGCGACTTCGTCGCCTTGCCAGATGGCGCGCCAGACGGAGGCGTAGCCGCCTGCGCCGAGCGGCTTTGGGTCGGGGAAATCGAGCTCAAAGAAGGGGACGCGCGGGCATCGCAGGACGGTCTGCTGCTGGCTGCTCTTGCCCTGCTTGTTGCCAGCATGGTAGAAGCTGCTTGGAGCGGACGGCGGGGCGGACGTGAGACTGCTGCTGCCGTTCGACGAGGACGACGAGGACGACGAGGACTGAGGCGAGCCCTTGAGATGGCGATCAAACATTGCGACGAGCGAGCGCAGCAGATTCGCGTGCAGCGCGGGTGCAGTCTTTGGCTGGAGCTGCAGCAGCATGTACTGGACAATGTCGGTGAGCATGAACTTGAGTGCAGTGACGTCCGCCGCGTCGTCGTCGTCAAAGTGAAGCCCGCAGAAGAGCATTGCGCGCTGACCCCGCAGCCCGGCGTTCGCCAGCTCGTCCGGCGACTTTTGCGCAATGTTGGTTGCAGCAGCAATGGTAGCCGCCGCCGCTGCAGCCGGGGACAGCGAGGACCCATTGTTGTTGTTGGTGTTGTTGTTGTTGTTGGGCTTTTGGTTTGCTGCTGGGCTTCGCTGCTGGGTGAGGACGGTCGCGTTGCCATAGAGCGCGTCCGCGGCGGCGGGCTTGGTGCTGCTAGTTGCTGCAGCAATCATGGAGATGGAGCCCGTGGCCGCGAGCGCAATGGCCTGCTGCTGGATCTCCTGCGGCAAGAGCGCGGTGACTGTTTGGGAACATTCGAGGAACTGTGTCCGCATTGCGCCCTCACGGAACGCGACTGCCTTCCACGCGTCCTGCGGCAACGGCTGCGGTGGTGGTGGTGCTTGTTGCTGCTGATGCTGCTGGTGCTGCTGCTTTGGAAGTGGCGCCGCCGAGGAGAGGAGCGCAAGCAGAACGCGGCAGCCCGCAAACGCATTGACGAAATCCTGCTGGGTGCCAAACCGGGAAAGCAGCGAGCCAGATCTCTGCTGCTGCTGGGGGTTGCGTGTCTGAAGCTGCTGCTGCTGCTGCTGCTGCTGTTGCTGTTGCTGTTGAGGGAGGTTGGCGCGCTCGAGCTCGTCGAGGACGGCGCTGGCGAGGGCGACCAGGCGCGCTGCCTTGACGTTGGCAAATTGAGCGGCGGAGGCGAGCGAACGGAGCTCGGCAAGCGCCTGCCGCAGCGACCCGGTGTCGGTCGCAGGAACGTCCATCGTTGGATTGTTTGGATTGTTTGGATTGTTGGATGTTTGATGTTGGATGGATGTTGGATGCCAAAAATTGAAATGTGTGGAAAGCTGAAAGAAAAAAAAAAAAAAAAAACAAGCAAAATGTGTGTGAAAAGAAGATTTGAAAAAAACTAGAAAAAAGAAAAAAAAAAAAAACACAAAAACAGAAAAAAAGACAAAGAAAAGGAGAAAAAAAAAAAGTGGGTTTGATTTGTTTTTGGATTTTGGAAAAGAAAAAGAAGAAGAAAAGAAAGAAGAAGAAAAGGAAGAAAGAAAGAAAAAACAATCGAAAGTGAGTTCAAAACGAAAGAAAGAAAAAGGAAAAAAAAAAAACACAAAGAAAAGGACGAAACTTTGAAGAAAGATCAAAAAAAGAGAAAAGGAAACAAAAAAGACGAAAATCGCCAAAATTGGGAGCCACGCAGCAAGAAACGCACACACCCTGCGAATTTGCGAACTGGATCAACAAGACGGATGGACGGTGAAGAGGGAGAAACAAGGACGCTATGAGAGGAGAGGAGAGAGAGAGAGAGTATGATGGGGAAATCCCGCGAACGAACGAACGAACGGAAGCAAACAAGTCCTTGTGGCGCGACGTTTGTGCTCCCAAAAAAGGGACTCTGATGGATGACGCACTCCCGACCAAAAGCCGACCAGAGCTACACGGTCAATTCGGGAGGCAGGGGGGAGCGGTGGGGGGAAAAGGGGTTTGACAGAACAGAACTGACAAGGTTTAGCTTCTCAGAAAAACCAAAGAGATGAAATGCGCAGAATTCCAACAGCAACTCAACGCGCTTACCAACACCCATCAAAAGTGCATGCATCGAAACGCGCCGTTTCGTCTGAATCTGAGGCAACGAAGCAACGAGCCGGTTCTCTTTTCAAACAAGCGGTCTTGTTTCTCAGACACCGAGTATTTTTCATTTGTTCCTCATCCAACCTCCACTATTGCCATTTATTATTTACTACTACAGTATCAATGCAACATGCTCACTCTCTTCTCTCTCAGCTTTTCAGACTTTTTTTTTTTCCATTTGTGTTTCAAGCATGAGTTTCGCGAATTCTGAATCGACTGCGACGACGTTGGCGGCAGTTCGCGCTGTGCTTGTCAATCCCGCGATCGCCGTGGCTGGCTCGGAGGACATTCTGCGCGACGACGACTCATCCGCAGCAACAACGGCAGCAACAGCAGGCGGCCCGCAGCAGCAGCAGCAGCAGCAGCAGGACGGAGCATTCGCTGCTGAGAGCGGCAATTCGAGAGCCATGCTGCGCGCTGCTCAAGGTCGCCTCGTTCCAGACCGAGATCAAGAGGAACACGAAGACGAAAACGACTTGTACAACCATGAGGATCCAGCGGTGGCAGCCGCTGCGCCAGCCATCGACCGGCAGCGCAGAGCCGTGGAAAACGCGTTGGCGTTGCTAAACACGTACTGCGAAGGTGAGGAAGAGCCGCGGACATGCCGTGACATCCTCAAGCCAGATAGGGGCTCGAGATGGCGAATTATACCATGACGTGTGATCGTGGAAGCGGCGGCGGCGGGGGGAGGAGAGAGAGAGATTGGTTGCACTTGCGCCAAATGTCGCTCGACTTCTGAGAACTCTCGCAGCCGCTCTGCTGCTAATCCTGAGGTTTCTCACATTGCTTGGATGGATGCCTTTTGTTATTATGATTATTTTCAACAGCATTGCTTCATGCTCAGCCGACAAGTGTTCGCCAGGCCCAGTTCGACGATCTCCTGCGCAACCATTTCCCTCTGTCACTGCTTTTGAACTACCTCAACCCGGGAAATCCAGAGTCGGTGTGGGAGCTGACTGTGCAAGTGCTTAAAAAGGTTGGACTCCATGCAAGCTTTATTTTTGCCGCCGGGGTTTGGGACTGGAAAGAGTAATTTTGGCTGACTGCAGGGTGGTTTGTTTGTTTGCTTGTTTCCTACGACGGGCAGGTTTTTGTTGGATGGGCGCCAGATGCGGAGACTGCAGCTTGGGTCAAGGTATGTTGCCCCGCCAGCTTGATTTGGCAACACCACGAGAACTGCTTTGCATTCAAGATTGCGTGTCTCTGACATTTTTCTGCGCCATTTTGTTTTTTGGCCAGCCGTTTGTCATTCAAGGTTTCCACCATCCTTACGTCGGAGTCCGCACTCTGAGTATTTTGCAGCTGTCCAGAATTGCGCGCGTTCATTCAAACTTTGTAAGACTGGAGACCGGAAATTTTGCTACACTGTAGTCTTGTTGCGCTGAGACCTGCATTTCGTTGTCGTTGTTGTTTGTTGCTGCATTCGCTGTTCAGTTGGACGACGAGCTCATCACCCTCACTATGGGGCTTCTTGCCGATCCTTTGCTGCCGGTTGCTCAGCAAGCAACTGCCATGCTGCTTGATGTAAAGTTTGGAGCCTCGCAAGCTGCCACGTTATTTTGTTTTTCACTGTAACCTCCCCATTCCCTCCCGCTTTTGCTTTTGTCAGGCACTTGGCCATGAGCAATCTGGTGGTCCTCTACTTTCTCCTCGGTTTCAACAAACCTTGCTTGCATTATTTGCCAAGTATGTGTGGTTGCGAGCTTTGTGTTGTTGGGGGGGGGGTTGCATCAAGGTTCGTGCTGCCTCGCTCTGGCTCACTTTTCTGGGTGGTGTAACGTTGTAGAGACGCTGTCGTCAAGATGCGTTGCTATGAAGCCATCATGCAAGCAGGTCTGCAATCAGAGCAAACAGCGCTCAGCCCGGCATTGCAGCCTTTCACCGACGCACTCGTTCGTGACCTGACGCAGTCGTCGGATATTCTCTTGCAAGTCAACCTAGTTGAACTAGCTGGCGAGGTACGCGACTGCTGCCTCTGGTTTGTGTTTGCACTTTTAATTGCCGTTAACGCTTCCCATCCCAAACAAACAAAAAATGCGACTTGATTCAACAGTTGTTGATCACTCCTGCCGGCAACCGACTTGCCGAGAAGCTCTACATTCACCGACACATTATTGCGCTTTTGCAAAAAAGCAGCGAAGATCCTTTCCTGTCTTTCCTTGTACCGTCGGGACTCAAGTATCTCGCCAAGGTGGCCGCAGTTCCCGTACGTGCTTCACTTGCTTGTGCTTGCTTTAGCAGCGGCTTGTTAATGGTGACGTTGGTGTTTGGTATCTTGTCGAATGTGCGCAGTCGCTGGACTTTCCCAAGTTCCTCGACGAACACCCCCAGATTTTCCCCTTGCTTTTCCAGTTCATGACCGGCACCGACATGGTCAGCAAGGTACCACCTCGTTTTTTTCTTTTGAAGCATTGGCATGACGTCCGTCCTCTCATTCTCAATGTGGGCCTTTGATGCTGGTGCTGTCGGTTGTTTCTCCACAGCAAGCTGCCATTGATACCCTGGGATGCATTGGATCGACGAGTTCCGGCTTTGAACTGATTCGTCGCGCTGATTCGACTGCCGAGGGCCGGAGCTTGCTCAAAGCAGCGTTCGGCGACCTTCTCACCCCGTCCCCGGACTTGCACAATTGCGTGATGAATGCTTTTGCTTCTGTTATTCTTGGCGGCGAGCGCGTGCTGAAAACTGGCGGTCTTTCCCACGACCAGATGCGAGCGCAATCTGCCTTGTTGAGCCGTTTGTTCAAGGCACTGCCAGGCAAGTGTATTAGTTTTGCAACATCCGCGATGTCCCTTCGGTTTCTTTTTTGTTTGTTTTTTGTGGGTTTTTTTGTTGTTGTTGCTTCTCATGCGTTTGGGTTACGTCCCCTCCCCCCTTTGTGTGTTTGCGTGTGTGTTCTGGCAAAGCAGGCGTTCCGTCTCTGTCAGCCACGAAAGCGATTTTTGATTACGCTCGTCAGCCATTCCAAGATGTTCGATTCGCCGCGTTCAACGTCCTCTACGCAATCGCTGCGCATTCTTGGGGTCAACAGGCGAGTCTGGGGTCACGTATCCGGGTGTGCATGAGTGTGTGCGGATTTCACTTTTTTGCTTCGAGCTAATCATGTCTGCTGTTTTCAACGCGTGACAGGAATTGGCAACTTGTCCTGGTCTGCTTGAGCACTTGCTCAACCGTGCCACTGAAACAAGCAAAGAAGGCTCAGAGTGGAAGTTTAACATCATCCAGCGACTCGCACGGCCGGTTGTTATTCCTGGAGACCCGTTCAGCGCAACCACCTTGTTTGGCGGCGCCGTCTACCAACGAATTCACGACTACATTGCGCAAGGGCCGTTCGCGGCTCAAGGCACAATGGCTGTATCTACTCTTGAAGCGTAATTTTTGTGTCATTTGTTGCAATGGAAGAACAACAAAAAGGATTCATTCGACATTGACATTCACGTCACACAAAGACACATTGCAACTCAACGTCACCACGACATACACACACACACATACGAGGCAGAGGTGTTACAACTGCGTTGACGACGGAGGGCCAACAAACCAGGCTCCGCCAGACGGGGCAGATTGTTGATCAGCCTGCGGACCGGCAGAGTACATGAAGGGATCGACCATTGCTGCAGCGGACGCGTTGGAAGCAGCATGAGAGGTCTCGGCTTGGTGTTGAACCGGCTGCAGCAACATGGCGGGAAGGTCGTTTCCATGACTGCGGGTGTTTGAGCCCGTGCTGTTCTGCATGGCCATGCGGCGCTGGCGCGCCTCAGCTTGTGCCGACAACTGGCGCGCAGGTGGTTGCGCTGCTGCGACAGGAGCTGGGGCAGCCAACGTGGCAGGGTTGTAGACGTCTTGCGGACTGAAAGCGGGCTGCTCGACTGGCGGTTGTGCGTGTGGCTGCAGGTGTTGCTGCTGTTGCTGCGGTTGCTGCTGGTACTGGTAGCCCGCTTCGGGTTGGTAGTGCTGCGATGAGCTGAGCGACGCATTGTGCTGAGGCTGCTGCTGCGGCTGGGCGTATTGATCATACGTGGTTGCCTGATCAAACTGTTGGGGTGGCTGGTGGAACTGATTCGTGTACTGGTCCACATGGTGTTGGGAATGCTGTTGGGAATGCTGTTGGGAATGCTGTTGTTGCGGCTGCTGCTGCTGCTGTTGCTGCTGATGCTGATGCTGGAAATCATACTGCTGCTGCTGAGGCTGAGATTCAGCAGCCGGAACATGAGATCCACCAGCACCGCGGCGATTGGTGAACATGTCGTTCGCATAGGCGTCATCGTCGAGCACGTCACGGTCGTCGTAACGAGGCTGTGCGTTTTGAGCAGGCTGCTCGTGGTAGTCGTCCCATGTTGACGCCGCAACAGCCCCGCCGTCGTGTGGCTGGAGGTGTTGGTGCACTCCTTGTGATGCCTCGAAATCGCCCGCAGGGTCAAAGTGCGGGTCATAACCTGCCACGCGAGCATCCGCTGCAGGAGCGAACGTGCTGGTGGTCTGAGGCTGGAAAGCGGGAGGTTGCCAAGACGCCTGTTGCACCTGCCCTTGATGGTCACCCTGGTGGTGGTGGTGTTGTGGCGGCGACGGCTGCTGCTGCTGCGGCTGTTGCAAGGAAATCGAGCGAGGCTGTTGCCGAGGCGAGCCGACGGGTGCGCCAGCTTCACGTGCTGCTGCTGGTGGTTGGCGGGGAGAGTGGGGCGCTGCCTGCGGCGAGTGCTGCGAAGACTGGTGGCCACCAAACGCGTCACCAGAAGGGCTGCCGTGGTGCTCAAACGTCGATCGAGGGGCATTGTACAAGTCGTGCCCAAAGTCGGCACGCTGCGAGCTGGCCATCGATGGCGCCATCGAGAAGGACGAGATCCCATAGTCTTGCATCGTTGAAGTTGTTGCCTGCGGTGGGACTGAAGTAGCACGCTGAGACCCGGGCTGCTGGCCAATGTCGTGAGCGCCGTACTCGGGAATCGGCGCGCCAACATTGTGTGAGGCGACACCAAGCGAGGCAAGTCCGCCAGCTGCCCCTGAGACGGATCGAGCTGCTGCTGGCTGCTGGTTGTAAGCGGGCGGCTGGTTGGAAGAGACGCCAGCGACTTGACGGCCAGAAGCAGCAAACTGCTGATGCTGGGGTTGATGCTGATGCTGCTGATGGTGCTGGTGGTGTTGCTGGTGGTGTTGCTGTTGCTGGTGTTGCTGTTGCTGCTGTTGCTGCTGCTGCTGCTGCTGCTGCTGTTGTTGTTGGACAAACTGGCGCTGACGAGAGTCGGCAAGGATTTGACGAAGCTTCTTGTTGGCAGTCTGGCACTCGGCCATCTTGTACTTGAGCTGGTTAAGTTGCTCGGTGCGCTGCGAGTCGGTAAACTCCAAATCGCTAATCTTGCCGAGCAAGGTGGCCTCCTGGTCGCGCATGGAGGCAGCCAGCGTATCGTAATCCGCAAAGGAACGGGCGAGCTCGGCCTCCTTGTTTCCAAGCTGGGATTGCAGATTGGTCAGGCTCTGCTGAAGCATGCCGGCATCGCTGGTCAGCGAGACAATTCTGTGCTGCAAGGACGCAGAGTCGGACTCGAGTTCCTGCACTCGCGCATCGGAAGCGGCCAGCTGGTCCTTGGCAGTGTTGTTGGCGCGAATGTACTCTTTAATCTCGGACTCGTACTCGGCCTTCTTGTCCTCAATCACCTCGGTAAGCGTGGCGACTTGGCGCTTGAGCTTTTCGTTCTCGGCGGTCGCTGGGCGGGCCACCTTTTGCTTTTCCATCTGGCCATGCAGCGCCTGGATTTCATCTTGCAGCCCGCGCAGTTTGGCTTCGCTGTCCTGGGCTCGCTGCTGGAGCGCGGCCTCCTGCTCCTTGTACCGCAAAAGCTCTGCTTCGATTTCGGCCTGTCGCTTGATTGCGTGGTGTCGCGTGGAAGATGCGACCCCAGAACGAGTGGAGGACGCCAGACCGCTCTCGCCAGCCCCGCCGTCGACGCTGGCCGTCTGTCCAGCATCATCCTCCAGGCCGTCATCGGCGTGGGACGGATGAGCGGCCAACTCGTCCATGCTGCGCTTGAGATGCTCCAGCTCTGCTTTGGCAGCATTGCAGGCCGTCTCGCTCGCCCTCAGCTCCTTTGAGAGGGCGTCGATCCGACGGTCGCGATCCTGTTCGGCCTCGCGGAGTCGTTGCTTGCTAGAAACGAGCTCGTTGCTGACAGCAACGTGAGCTGCTCCGCTCTCCTCGAGCGTGGTCTGAAGCTGGGCCACTTGGCGATCGAGCGTGTTGCGAACGCGCTCGAGGTTGAGAGCTTCGTCGGTCTTCTTGGCAAGGGCGTCCTTCAGCTGCATAATGTTTTGGTACTCGGCAGCCTGGTGCTGAAGCTGCTGCACGGCCTCCGTGTGCTTGGTGCGCATCACGTTCAGCTGGTCTTCGACCGCCGTGCGCCTTTGAACCTCGCCTTGGTAGGCACGCTGAAGGTCGCCAACGCGGCTATCGCTGGCCTGCAATGATTGCTGGAATTGCATGAGCTGGAGTTGGTCCTCGTGTTGGCGAGTCATAAAGGTCTGGACTTGCTCCTTGAGACGAGTGGCTTCGGCTGTGGCAATCTGCGACTGACGCTGTGCGTCGCCAATCTTTTGTGCTTGCAGATCCAGCTCACTGGCCAGCTGCTTGCAGCGTGAGTCGGCCTGGCTGGCGGCAGCAGTCGCTGCAGCCAACTGTCGCTCCACTTCGGCAACGCGAGCATTGGCGGCGGCGCCAGAGGGACCAGGTGTGCTGGGAGTGCTGCGGACAATCCACACAATGGCAACAATGGCGAGCCCAATGGCAGACGAGATGCCGATTTGCCAGTAAATGTTGCTGGAAAGCTCACTCCAGAAGGCGGTGGAAGCCTTGGCCGGTGGTGCTGCGGCGGCTTCGTCTTGCTGCTGCTGTTGTTGCTGCTGCTGCTGCGGGGGCGAGATTGAGGGTCGAGAGTCGGCAGCGCGATGGCGATTGCCGGGAACGTGTCGGTGGGGCGGAACTGGAGGTTCAAACGGCTCCAGATTTTGGAGACGTTCGGCTTCAGCTTGTTGCTCGCGCTCAATGCGATCGCGCTCAGCCTGCTGCTCAAACTCGAGCTTGACTGCCTGTGCGCGCTCGGCTTGTGCGACAATTTCAGCTTCAATAGCTGCCTGGCGGGCTCGCTCGGCTTCGAGGCGCGCTTGCTCGGCTTCCTGGTGAGCTCGTTCGGCTTCCTGGCGCGCTTGTTCGGCTTGCTCGGCCTCAAACAGTTTCTGGAGACGCTGCTGCTCTTCAATGGCTGCAGCGTCGGCTGCTTCTTGAGCTGCAGCAGCTTCTTGAGCTTGAATCCGCAGCTGCTCTGCTTGGTCTTGCAGCAGCTGGTCTGCGTCCATCTCGCTGTTTTCGATGCGCTCTACACTGTCAGTCGCATCGTGGTAGGTAGGCTCGACAGTCACCACAGTTGTTTCCTCAGCAGCGGACTCGGTTGCAGACGGCACAGCAGCGGTTGAGGCATCGGCCACTGCAGGAGCAGAGTCGGCTTGGGTAGAAGCCAGCGCAACTTCCATGTCATGGTGAGCGGCTTCCATCTCGCGGAGGTGGTCGGCACGCTCCAGATCAGCCAGCATCTGCTCGACGTCCTCGTCGGCGAGAGCTTGCTCGGATTGCTCGACTTCTTTGGCAACAATGGATGGCGTCTCCTCCGCAACCGACACCACGTCGGTGGGCTCTGGGGCATGGCCCACACTGGAGTCGCTGGCAGCGTCTGCGACGGCAGCAGTTTCAACCGAGACGAGCTCCTCGGCGGCGAGCTCGGGCGTTTCGAGCTCGAGCAGCTCTGGGGTCTCGAGCGCAAGCAGCTCGGGGGTTTCGATGGCTTGCTGCACGCCAGGCGTCGTCTCGGCCGAGTTTGCAAGTAAAGTGGCAGTGGCACTCTCGGCTTCAGCAGTGGGTCCGGCAGCCGAGGCCTGGCTGAGAATGTCCACCGTTTCAGTCGCAACAAGGGCAGGAGCTGTGGCTGTCGACGAAGAAGGAGCAGCCACGACGGTCGTCGTAGGAATCGCAAGCCTGGTAGCAGTGCCACTCAGTTGCTCAAACAGCTGTTCGGCGGGATGGACAATCTCTTCCAGGAAAATGGCGAGCGCCGGAGGGTGCTTGAACGTGTTGGTGTCGAGCAGATTCGCGCAACGCGCCACCAGTGACTTGACGAGCTGTGCAGCACGCTGCCCGAACGCCGCACCCCCGCGCTTCAAGCTGCTGTTGGCGATCGACTTGATCTTGCCAAGCTCGCGCTGCAACGTGTCAAACTGGTTTCGCTCCGTCAAGGACGCCCCGGCGAACGGGTCTGTCGACGGCGCTTGTTGCTCATCAGGTGGATTGCTCGCGGCCGCACCTTCTTCAACAGGAGCAACATAGTACGGCGCAAACCCGGTGACAAGAAACGTGGCGTCAGAGAACACCGAGCTCTCCAGGACATACTCGGGGCTAAAGCGGCCACGAACGCCGTTCTTTTCTGCTCCAATTGCGTTTACACAAAATGCATGTGTTGAGATTCAGGTGGGATTGACCGTGAATTTCGTGTCACAAAAAACAGAACCAGAGTGAGTTGCTGCGTTTCACTTCGAACCAGTGTCAACACCCCGCCGTGTGAGAGCGACTGAGCACCACACCAACAGAACAACCAGCATAACAACGTTCAGCAAAAAAACACAAAACTTGCCTCCGATCCAGACTTCCAGCTCCTCGCTCTTGGCAAAGACGGTCATCGTGTCCCCCGGATCAAAGCGCAGCAGCGGACCCCAGGACGCGAGTGCTTCGGCGGGGTCTTCCGCGACGCTGCTGGGACTGCCATCCTGCTGCTGTTGTTCTTGTTGTCGTGGTGCGTTCTGCTTGTTGGCCATCTGGGACGCGTGCTGCAACTGTGGTCGCGGAGCTCGCCGCGCAAAGACTCGCGAGATCGCTTCTATTGAAACAACCAAACGAAGTGAGTGAGTGCACCATCAGACGTGCTCCGATCGACGCCTTGGACAGCGGAATCGGGAATGAGCAACGCAAAGCACAGACATGCAAAATGAGGAGGAGCCGGAGCTGGAGCTTGGGTGGGGGAGGAGAAGTCGAGCTGGAGTGGTCTTCTTACTTGTGCACGTCTCGTCGGCGCAGGCAAAGGTCGGCATCGACGTCAGACCCGATGGACTGTCTGCTGCGTTGGGCTGCGCAGAGACGAGCATCGAGGCAGCGAGCGCGATCGCAGCAGCCAGGGCAACCGCGAGCAACCGCAGCGATGATGAGCTGGCAGCAGCAGCCGTTGTCGTTCTGCGTCGCCCAGCAGCAGCAGCGTCGTCTCGCCGGCGCTGCTGAAGTGTCGCCATGGTTTTGTTGTTTGTGTTCAACGCAACGTCGCAGCCGTCTTTCGCAAGCAGGATCTTCTTGGACGGGAATGAAAAAAAAAAAAAAAGGCGCCAAAAACAATCTGGCTGAAGGAGAACTGCAATGCACTTGCTTTTGTACTTACAACCACACAGTAGTGTACTTAGTATGCTTGGAGCGTAAACGGGCAAACATCAGAAACGTAAGACAAACGAAAATTATCGGATTGTATTTTGTTTTTTTCTATTCAAATTTGGTGTCTATGTGCTGGGTGTCTGTGTTTAATCCTCCTCCTCGGCGGCAAGAGCTGCCTTAGCGGCCTCCGCAGCCTCGGTAATCAAGTCCTTGGGCACGAGCTCGTGTCGTCCGTTGGAGTGTGCGCCAACCCAGCTCATCTCGAGCTCGAATTGCTTGTCCTTGACCTCGTCGTGGATGCTGTGAATGATCTTGGCAATCGCGAAAACAGCCTCGCGGCAGGTCATTTCGCTCATGTTCAGCTTTTCTATCTCAGTCTTGGCGGCCTGCTTGCCCTTTCCGGTCGCACAACCGTGGTAGCCCTGAGCAGATTGGATGGAATTGGATGCGTGCAGTGTGAAGTTTGGCGAATTCAAGAAAAGTGAGCAAGCAAACAGTCATCCCACACACACACAACAGTGCAAGAACATCCATCTTACCCAGCAAACGCCAGAAGGCTCAATCATGTGCAAGTGAGCGCCGTCGCTGTCGTACGATCCAACAAGCGCTGTGCAGCCGAACGGGCGAACGGCACCGTACAGCGTGTAGACTTGGACAAAGCCAGCAAGTCGTTGACTCAACACTTGCGAAGGAATGGGGCTGTTGTAGAATGAGCGGTAGTTGGCAGACTCCTCGCGAGCGCGGTTGACCACTTGGCGCGCATCGGCAACGAGGCCAGCGATTGCCTGGTATGAGAATGAGGTGTCAAGGGAACTTGGAGGTGAGCAATGGCGGCTTTGCTGAGGCTCTTGCAAAAAGCAAAGAAGTGGCCCAGCAACGAGGCAGTCCGGACAGGCGAATCAATCAGCTTACCACGCCGACGTGACGATCCACAGTAAAGATGCGACGATTGGACGAAGGCTCGTACAGCTTGGACAGAATGAGCTTTTCAACACCAAAGACGACGCCATCCTTGACACGGAGGGCAATGGCAGTGCTACAGAGGGCAACAATCAAAAAAAAAAAGTCGGCATGAGCAGCAATCCGACCCAGTGACAAAATCGCAAAGCACTTTGCAAAATCACACATACCCGCTGTTCTCGACTGCCTTGGCAGCGTACTCGACTTGGAAGACGCGGCCGTCAGGGCTGAACGTCGTAGCTGACAAATCGTACTGTGCAACCAACAACAACAAGAGTCATTCCATTGGGACTTGTGAGCGCCAACCAGACAATATTCGAATCCACAAGCTGTATGTGCACGCGTCGTCAGGGACAAACTGGAGAGCTGGGACGGACCCCGCGGAAGTGGATGGAGCAACAGAGCCAGGAGCCAGTTTGCTTGTGAGATCCAACAGCGCAGTCCGCCAAAGCCACCCCCTTTCAACGCCGAGACGCAATGACAAGCGAAAGCTGTCGAAGGCGCAAAACTGGACAACGTTGACTCTCTGGCGAACGACAAGCGGCGAAACTCAATGCTTGCGTTTTTGGCTGCGATTGCATTGAGTTTCCAGAATGCGAGATCTGGAAAAAAAAAAAAAAAAAAAAAAAGAGCGGCTCGTTTGACGTGGTGCTGTGATGCTCGCTGTGATGGCTGCGGCAGTGGGCTGCGTTCAGGATGGACAAAGGATGGCTGCAAAACAGGGGGCCTGTCGAAGCCGGTCGGAAACGAGCGCGGGAGGCAGAGAGATGGAGAACAATAGGACGCCTTTTTTTTCTTTCTTTTTTCTTTTTTTTTTTTTTTTTTTTTGGGAAGAGTTGTAATGGTAAATGTATGGGCAATCGTGGTTGAGCGCCGCCCTTACGCCAGTGCCAATGCTCGACATGACGGAAGAAATTAAAACTGGAGTGAAATGGAGTGAAAGGTGAAATGAATGTCAAGGTAGAAGACGACCGTGCCGTTGGGTCGTGATAATGGCAGGTCGAAGTCACAATTGGAGGAGGAAGGGGAAATTGCTCGAGATGCCGCGAGATGCCGAGTCCACAAGATGGGCCTGTCTTTCGAAGGCTGATTTGTCCATGCAAAACTTGGCTGAACGCTGGAAGAAACTTTCAATTGGGTGGAAAATTGTCTACGGTTTGCATCCAAGCACTTCAACGATTGGCGTTAGACATAGCCAACATAAAGCGATTCAAACTGCACATCTCGAGAAGACTTGCTGGCTCGAACTTGAACCTGCCAACCGGCGCGCATTTGTCGGATGACAGGATGATTGGCTGGCAGGATTGTCACAAGCTCGAGGCTCGAATTGACAAAAGTCGGTTTTGCTGAAAATTCGTATTGAACAGCGCCTTGCTCATTTCGGATAATCAAATCAAAGCCGCTGCTGCCGTTGCTGTCGAAACGGTTTCCCATGTCACGAAACACTTGAATTGCTTTCACACGAACCGAACCTCCATCAATCCTTTGAGGTAGTGTGACTTTCAGAATACGCTCGGGGGAATCATAAAAATGCGATCGCTTGGTGTGCTGCACGCCTTGCCAGTAGTGCGCTTCGTCCATAATGAGCTCGGCAATCTCGGCTGGCAGTGCTGGTAGAGATGTGGGTTGATCCTCCAGCGCCAGTCCACTGCTCAGCAAGTGAAACACGTTCTGAAGGTCTTCAGCAGTTGCCAATCGTGGACGCGAGGAGAATACAAGAGGGTTGATCTGCGTGTCGATCCTGCGCACGAACAAGCAAAGTGAATGAGCACTCAGCGGGGCAACTCCTTTGGTTGGAGCACAAATCGTTCGGACAAACAACGAACAAAAGTCTATTCAGAGTTCGGTTGACTTGACGCGCTTCACCAATCGCTTGAAGACCAGCCTTGCCAATGAAATTGAATCGTATACTATCGCTTAAAGAGTGAGCAAGGTATGTCTGAGCCTCGCCCAACGACCGAGACCAGCAAGCAAAGCGCACAGCAACTTACTCGAGCCACCACAGCTGTTTGTTCACCATGAGTGCCCCAGCGATTGCCTGCGCTCCAATGTCACCAATCTGATTGTCACCAAGACTGTCCATCCCTCCATCAGTGAGCACTCTGTGTCATCTGTGAATCATTCACACACATGCATCAGTCAAAGTGAGATGTCTTACTGGAGAGAACTCAGCGTCGTGTTCACTTTGAGTGCCTCGGCAATCGCCTGCGCTCCAGCATCGCCAATTTGATTCTTATTCAGACTGTCCATCCCACCCTCCGTCGGTGAGCACTCCTAGTACATTTGACTTGACCCACTCACAAGCACCAGTAGATGCGAAATGACATACTTGAGCCAATCCAGCGTCTTGTTCACTTTGAGAGCTTCAGCGATTGCGTGCGCTCCAGCATCGCCAAGCCGATTCTCTTCCAGACTGTCCATCTCCTCCATGAATGAGCACTCGTCTGAATCACCCACTCTCATGCGCCGACAAGAGTGAGATGCCTCACTCAAGAGAAGTCAGCGTCGTGTTCACTTTGAGTGCCTCAGCAACGGCCTGCAATCCAGCATCGCCAATCTGATTCTGGTACAGACTGTTCATCTCCTCCGTCAGTGAGCCACTCTTATCGCTCTGTGCTGCATCACCCGCTCACGTGCATCAGTCAAAAGAAGCTGCCTTACTCGAGCTCCTTCAGCGTCGTGTTCACTTTGAATGCTTCAGCAATCGCTCGCGCTCCAGCATCGTCAATCTGCTTTTTGTGCAGACTGTCCCTCCATTTCGTCAGTAGCACCTCGGCTTTTATCTTACACGAGCTTTTCACTCGCATTGTTGACTTGGTCGTACAGCTCTCGCTGTCTTTCAGTCATGCTCTCGCTGTCTTTCAGTCATGCTCTGATACGAATGCATTGGAAGCACTCAGAACAACGAAACAAAAAAAAGGTTGTAACTTGGAAGTGACTCGACGTCAGTGTCTTCTCTCCAGATTTTGTGCTCGACATTCACATCGCTGGTGAGCAAAAGTAGCTGGGAACATGAATCAGATTCTCGTGAGCCAGAAGTTGAAGATGTCAAAACAATAGGGAGGATATTGTAGATTTATCAGATTCAGTGACACCGTCTCTCCTCCCTTCGACCCTCAGTGCACAAAGTCATTTTACTTTTCTTTTTGCTTGGTTGCTCAGACAGAGGAGGTCAGTCCTTTCCAACGCAAAACTCAATCATGTCCGACATTGTCGTCTACTACTCTGAAGTCTCTGGCAACCAGCAGGTGAGTCTCCCGCCGCCGCCGCCACTCCCATCGGCAGCACTCCGTGTACTCTGTGCTTTTGGGGGTTCCTTCTTGCATCCTGTTGCGCGGATGGCCCAGTGTTTCAACGTCAGATTGTGCACAGATTGAAATTTTTTCCTTTTTTTTCTTTTTTTCTTTTTTTTTTCAGTTTGAGAGGTTGTTGCCCCGCCGCGTTGCGACTCAACCACCCGCGCCTTTGTCCCGATGCTCTTCTCCTTGCTTTCTCTTCCTTCAACGCTGCTCGCTGTCAAAACGCAACCCCAAAACGGCGAAACGATGACGCGTCAAACAGAAATAAAAAAAATGCGATGTCAAATTTTTTGTATTTTTCGTGACTTTTTTTTTTTTTTTTTTTGTTTGGTTTCTTTATTCCAACGTTGATCGCTTTGATGACGGCGGTTTTTTTTTCCCCCTCCATTTGACTGTCGCTGCGTGAATGCGAGTTTGTGTTTCTGTCTTTTGCGTGTGGCGTTCATTTTGTGCACGACAAAAGAACAAAAAGAACGACTTTTTGCAAAAAAAAAAAAAAAAAAAATCTTGTTGAATGAACATTAAAAAAATTCGCTGGTTTTTTTTTTTTTTTTTTTTTTTTTTTTTTTTGTAAAGATCGCTTTTCGGCCAGATTTGGAATTGAAAATGTTTGTTTCGTTTGCGTTGATTTTTTTTTTTTTTTCAACTTTGCGTTTCAAAAAGTCAGACTTTGTTTAAGTTGTAATTTTGTGATCAACATTTGCTGATACCAAAAAAATATGAACTGATGGATTGCTGTTTGAATGAATGAATGAATGAATGAATCAGGTCAAGAAGAACACCCAGTCGCTCTTCTTCATGTTCGACGGCAAGAAGATTGCCTACAAGAAGGTCGACGTCTCGATCGACGACGCTGGCAAGAACTACATGCAGTCCAAGAGCCACAAGCGCGACCTTCCCCAGGTCTTTGTCAACGGCGAGTTCAAGGGCGTACGTATTCGTTTTGGTTGTTGTGAAGGGTTTGATCGGCGAGGATTCGAGTCGCTGACGCTCGTGTGTTTGGCTTTTGCTTTGTTTGTTTGTTTTTTTCCACTTCAGGTTTACGACGACGTCGTCGAGGCTAACGAGTCTGGCGAGCTTGAGAAGTTCCTGTCGTAAAGCACCTTCCCTTCTGTTTCTTTTTCTTTTTTTTTTTGCGATTGTGCTGTTCGATTGTAAATCCTTGCCGCTTGAATTTATGATCAATGAAGGAAGCAATTTCGCAATCAACAACGAACGGAACATTGGCCATGCTTCACTTCCGACACCGAGCTTCAACCAAACGCACGACATGCTCTGGAACATTCGGCATTCCCACGTAGCCTGGAAAATAGTTGACATCAATCACGACATTCTCGCCCGTATCAGAGTCAATCACAACATCGATTCCAAACAGGGAGAGTTGCTATTTTCGAGGCGACGGTGTGAGACTGGTGAGTTTTTGGGGCGGGAAATAGTTGGCAAAAGTCAACCAGAGGAATCTTACCAGACAGTCGCCCACTTCTTGCGCAAGACGCTGTAAGGTATTGACAGAGATTGAGCGCGCAGTTGTTGTTGCTGTTGTTGTTGCTGCTGCTGCGGCCGCTTGGTGCAGAGGCGATGTTGACGTTGCTTTCGAAATGGTACTGCTATCGAAGCGAACGAGTCCAGTCTCAGTGTCTGAGGTGTTCAAATTCCCAGCAGAGACATGAGCACAAGCAGATCACACCATGCACCAACCCCTCCTTGACGACCACGCTCAGCCAAACCTTTGTCAGACAAGTCGCGAATCGACTTGCGCTGCACGTCGTGAACGGCAGATCCAATCACAAAGATCTTGTGCAAAACACCACCGTGGTTGACAAACTGCTGCGCTACAATCGTGCTGCCAACGGGTGCTTCGGCTACAAACTCTGCGAGGCCGGCTACGGTCGACGCGATGGCCATTTGATGCGCATCGGTTGTGAGACCGACGAATTTGCAAACTGTGCAAGCAGCCCATCAAATCAATCAGTCACAACGCTCCCCTTATGCATAGAACCACACCTTGCCATCCATCAAAGAACACAACCCAAAAACCATACCAACAGGCAACTTGACATGCGAACTCGCCAATTGCACTCGCAGCGCATCAACGTTGTCAGCCTTCGGTGTACCAGCAGTTTTGATTGTTGCAGAATTCGGAATGGTCCACTGGCATGTCCCAGGATGATGATTCTCGATTGCTTCACTGAGCCTTGCAAAGTAGCGCTCGCGATGGAGCAGCGAATCAGCGGCTTCAATCGGATCGATCACTGGAATAGCCGGGCATCCAGGCGCAGCCAGCATCTGCTCAAATACCAATGCCAATTCCCCAAAGCATAAGCCATGCATGCTTTTTCAATGTCCATTGATTCATAGAATTCAGAGCCGCTAAGAAATGGCTGCGTCATCACTGTAAAACACTCTGCGTACTTGCTGCAGCCACTCGCGCATCTCGACTGCCGATGGATCCGGGCCATACGCCCTGTGGAGTATGCAATCGAGAGACTGGAACTCTTCCACCGTGGTCGTCTTTGCATCGAGCTTGACTTGGCTGATTTTGTGCGCTGCGAACGCATCCAAGACTGCTGGCCAGTCAAACTTGCGCTGCTTGGCCTCTGACAACCACCACCCGATCTTGATCATGACAATCAAAACAAAGGGAGTGATACCACGTTGGTAGTGCTTGGGATTTCTGAGACTGTTCGAGCTCCTATTCCAATTCGCTCAGATTTCAGGACTGAGCCTTCTTATTCAATTGCATACACCATCCCCCTCTTCTCCTGTGACTTCCAGCTCCCTTAATGCCACTGACACTCAATGGTAGAGTGTTTCCAGTCCCTCACTCTTTTTGTTTTTGCTGAGCAGAGCCATTCAACAAGCAAGCAATGGCGCTGATCTCGGCCAAGGACCGAACCAAAGAGTTCCTGTCTGCCGTCGCGACTGCCCAGCGCACCTCCGCCGCGGCCTCCGCATTGCCCGGCAGCAGCAGCAGCAGCAGCAGCACCTCCAGCAGTAGTAGCATGGCGGGCGGCGGCAGGCTCGGCAGTCGCGACGACCCCGGCGTTCCCCTCCTCACTTCGCCTGGCTCGTCGTCGTCCTCGTCCTCGTCCTCGTCCATGCCGCGCACTCAGTTTGCGCTCATCGCCAAGCAGATCGCAATGGACATTAACAGCACGTTCGGCAAACTCGAGCGCTTGTCTGCTTGTAAGCCGCGCTCTGCTCGCCGCTGCCGTCGTGGCGCTTTGCTTGGCTCGCTTGTACTCTCTTACTCTGAGTATACTCAGACGAGCCTACTATTTGCCAACCTTCACTCTGATGAAGAACACAAACCCCGTGATTGATGACGTTGATCAGTCGAAACAATTCTGATACTTACTGAGCTTGATGTCTTTGTTTGTGTGTGTTCTCTCAGTGGCAAAGAAAAAGTCGCTGTTCGATGACCGACCTGTCGAGATCCAGGAGCTGACGTACATTATCAAGCAGAGCATTGGCCAGCTGAACGAGCAGATCGCGCAATTGCAGCGCAGTCAGAGCGGATCCAAGCGACGCGAGCAGGAAAAGAAGCACTCGGACAACGTTGTCGTCTCGCTGCAATCAAAGCTCGCAAACATGTCCAAAGAGTTCAAGTCGGTGCTTGAAGTCCGAACGCAAGTAAGCAACAACAGGAGCGGGAGGGAGAGGAGTTTTTACCTGCACGTTACAGCACGTAGAGTTGCGCTGACATTGCCACAACAGAATTTGAAAGATCAGCAAGAGCGACGAGAGCACTACTCCACGGGCCCTGCGTTGGCAGGCAGTTTGGACGCACCCAGCAGTAGTGGCGGCGCAGGTGAGCCCATCCTTTTTGTGAGCTCTCGACCCCTTGGTTGTTCGCTCGATTCACTGAACGTTTTCGGGTGTTGTTTTTCTTGGTAGGCTCCATTGCTCTGGATCTGACCGGCTCGAATTACCAACAAATGCAACAAATGCAACTGGTTGACAAGCAGGTGAGCATTCCTGTGTGGGCATACAATCCGCATCCCCTTGTTCATATCTCACTTTTCCAACTGGTTGCACAGGATGCTTATATCCGATCGCGCGAGGACGCTGTAACAACGATCGAGTCGACAATTGTGGAGCTTGGTGGCATTTTCCAACAGCTCGGCACGTTGATTCACGAACAAGGCCAAATGGTTGAAAGGTGAGCAGCAGCAACGCAGTTTTGTCGAGCGTTTTTCAAGCAGAAACTGCTTTTTTGCTGATTTCTGGGTCCTTTTTTTGCGCTGCTCCTTCACCACAGAATCGATGCAAACATTGAAGAAACCGAAGTCAATATTAATCTCGCGCACAGCGAAATCGCCAAGTACTTTGAGAACATTTCCAGCAACCGCTGGCTCATGATCAAGATTTTTGCCGTTTTGATAGTATTCTTTATTGTTTTCGTCGTGTTCTTTGCTTAACGAAGAATAGGTGAAGACGTGCTTGATGATTGTCTTTGTTTTGGTTCCTTGTTGCTTATTCTTTTTGTTGTTCCAATTGATAATTAATCGTTCGTTCGTTCGTTCGTTTGGAAATTACAACGAGAACTTGATGATAAAGTACAGCTCAGCACCCAATGCAACGAACGCAGCCAGCATGCCGCACAAGACCATCATGGCCGTGTTGCCTGGAAAGACCTGCTCAGACACCTTGTAGCCTGCAGCAAACACGGCAACACCGGACAGAATCGTTCCGAAAATTAGGGAAAAGATTTGCTCGACCTTCTTGAGCTCGAGCGGGTTGATGTTTGGCTCCTCGGCGTGGGCGGTGAGGCCTCTTGTCATTCGCGCATAGTTTTTTTCTTCGACTAGGACTTTCAGCTTGGCCAATCGTGCGACGAGTTCGGGGCTCTTGGAATAGGAAGCAGGAACGTCAAAGTAATTTTCAGTGAATGTTTCTCCCCCTCCCCCCCAAAAGGAGCACAACAACAACAACAACAATAGCAACCTCGATTTTCAACATGTTCTCCTCACTCGAACAATTTCAGGCATGGCTGGGGGAACGATCTGCGAGCCATGCAACACCTTGTGCAATGTCAACGCCGGCTGGTCTTGCTTGAGCTGTTGCCATAATCTAACAAGTCCACAACACAACGCACACAACGCACACGATGAGAGTGCATGACCTTTTTTTTTCAACCACTAGTTCAAGCACCACCCCATCCCCTCCTCTATCTCAACTTTGGCATCATATGCAGCTGAATGCAGCAGGATACGTTTCCCCCCTTCAAAATTGCCGGTTTTCCCCCCTTCGAATACACACTCACCGCTTGACCAGTGCAAATTCAATGAGCAACGCAGGTCTTTGCAATGGCGTTGCTTCATCAACCGCCTCTTTACTACTTGTACTCGTCGCAGTTGTACTGGTTGTACTGGTTGCAGTGGTACTTGTCGTGGTGGCTTTGGCCTTCGCTTCGTCCCATGCTGACTGTGCCGCCTGCAGCTCGGCGCGCAGATCACTCGTCGTCGTCGTCGTTGTCGTCGCCGTCGCTTGTTTGTGCTTCTGCTGAAGTTGCTGTCCCTTCTTCACTTGCGTTGCGAGATAGTCGCGCACGAGCTGCTGCAGCGATTCCGTCGCTTCGACCTGCGGCATATGAAGCTCAATGCAATGTAATAGAAAAGACGACTGAGCTTCAAGTCTGAGATTTCTCCCCTTTTGAAGTTTAAATGTACAAGTACCGTTGACTCGACTAGCAATCTGAGTACACTCGCTGCATCTTTAGAAGGACTAAAATCTGCTGTCATCCTCGTAATCTTAGAATTCTGAGGCCTTTTTCCTCTCCTTCCCGTCTCACCGCCGTTCCCTCTCTTCCCCCACCCCCACCCCACCCCTTCCTTTAGAATATAGATCTACAAAGTACCAGTGCTGTACCTTGACTGCCATTCTGATCAAAGACTCGCTCTCAGCATCAGCACTTTTCATACAGTAGAACACTTGTCCTGAATCCCAAACTCCTTCCCTTCTCGCTTTCTCTTGCTTCCCACTGACTTTGTTTTTTCTCCTTCTTTCTTTTTATTCTGTACTCATTTCTTCTTCTTCTTGCTTTTTTTTGTCGTTCATGTTGCGTCGCGTTGCTTCGACATTGCCTTCGTCTCTGTTCCGCCGCTCGTCTCCTTCTTCCTCGTCGTCGTCGCTTCGCCGCGCTGCCCTCGCCATCGCTCCCGGTGCTCCTTCTGCTTCTCCTTCTGCTTCTGCTCCATCTGCTTCTGCTTCGTCCAGCCACCGCTTGACCACCCTGCTCGCAGTCACCGCCGCCGTCTGCCTCTTCAGCACCTGCGCCGTCTCAACCGCTTTCGCCGCGTCCCATCCGCCCACGTCCGACTCCATCATGTCTGCCAACCGCAAGCTGATTGACGAGTTTGTCGCGTCCAACACGGTCGCCATCTTCAGCAAGTCGTACTGCCCTTACTGCAAGCGCGTCAAGGCCCTGTTTGACAGCATTGGCGTCAAGTACACGGCCATTGAGCTCGACACCCACCCCGATGGCAGCGGCATCCAGTCAGAGCTCATCAATGTGACTGGTCAGCGCACCGTCCCGAACGTCTTTGTCCGAGGCACTCACATTGGCGGCTCCGACGACACGCACGCTGCTCAAAAGTCAGGCCGTCTCCAGAAGCTGCTCGATGCCTGAGCATAATTCTGAGAAGCTCGGGGAAAAGGGGGTGTGTCTGAGAGAGAGGTCTGAGCGAGAGACAGAAGAGTTGGCTCCGTCTCGCCATCCCCGTTCATCCTTCATCTTGGAGCAAATACATCCATCCTGTTCCCTGCAAATAAAACGAGCTACACTCTCGCGCAAATGGATTTCCTTGTTTATTGAGGTGAGGGGATTGTTACTTGCTTTTTGTGAGCAGCTGTTGGATGCAGCCGGTACAAGACATTGTCGAGCTTTTTGGCGCTCGCTTGGTTTACCGCCTGCGGGGCGAGCGAGAACGAGACCGCGAGCGATCACGGCGCCCAGAGTAGCTGCAGCAAAAGGTTGTTGACGCAGGCTGGTGAGAAACGGCGCACGAAAAGGCATCATTACAAACTCCCAGTCCCTTTACCTCCTGCGCGGAGAGCGGGAACGAGAACGCGAGCGATCACGGCTACGGCCATAGCTTGAAGACGAAAATCAAGTACGGTGACGGCAAAAACCAACCGGAAAGAGAAACAAGCAGTTTGGGGTTAGAAAACGAGGCAATCAACAAACAACCGAGGGAAAGTTCGGGGAGAAAAAAAAAATAAAACGAATGATGGAAGGGGCTGGAAAATACCGGCGTTGCATGCTACACGCAGGTGAGGACATGGACCACGCTTGGTGGCCAACTCCAAGACGCTCGCTCGCGACTGTATGAAAACGCGCTTACCGCACCGCGAAGGCATACAACAACCAAAAAAATCACGCACCACTCAAAATTCCCCCTCCCCCAAGTTCCCCCGACACTGATCTGCACAAGCAAATTGAGAGGATTGAATCGAAAAGAGCAAAGAAGAACTTACCTTCGATCGTCACGATCCAAGTCGTGGTATGAGCGGCGACGACGATCGTCGCGATCATCGTAACGGTCGCGGTCTCGGCCACGATCCGAGCGATCCCGGTCGCGGTCGCGGTCGTCGTCACGGCCAAACGGGCGCGGCGGTCCACGCAATGCAGTCGGGAACCCCTCTTGCTATTTGATAGGAAACGAAGCCAAAAAAACAAAACTCAACAGTTAAAAACCCTCACTCACACAAAAGAAATCAGAAAAGGTCCCTGCACTCACCTTGTACTTGGCCAGCATATCGCGAATCAACGCGTAGCCAACATGCACTTTGCCTTGGATGTGAGCATCAACACGCTCTTGGGCATCACCGACAATCAGCAAGGCACCGCAGATTTGGCAGACCTCGAGGCTGTTGTCGCGACCGTCTTCGTCCGGACGCTCCAGCTTGGTCTTGTCGTTGGTGAGACGCTCAATGTCACGCATGATGGCGGACGCTTCGTCGACCTGGCCCTGGGCGCCGAGGTCTTGCGCGCGCGAGGTCAACTCGGCGATCTGCTCGTTCACGCGAGCGATGCGCTGCGCACGGTCCTGCTGCCGCTGCGCCTCCGAGCCCGGTCCGACGTGCATGCGCTCCGTGTTGGCACGAATGACGCGCTCCACACTGCGCACGGTCTCTTCGAGGAAGTTGTTGTGCGCCAGTTCAAAGCCGAGTTCGCCCTTGCGGCTGCTTGTCTGGTAGGCCTCCCGCAGCTTGTCATCGTGGACCTTGGCGCACTTGCCCAGATCCATCTTTGTGTTTGGGAAGAGGTCGTGCGGGCACAATCCGCACAAGTAGTGCTTGCAGACCTGTTCAAGCAGAACATAGTGAGTGCATGAGTGAGTGAGTGAGCCCGTTCGTACCGCCCGTTCGCTTTTCGGGTTGGTCAAAGTTCACTGTCGTCGTTTCGCCAAGTTGCAATGCCACGCGAGGGCTGAAGCAGTCGGGAGGGGGAAACGGGGCGTCGTCGTTCTCGTTTCGCTTTGCTTTTTGTATGGACGTTGCATTGACGAACTTACATCGTCGTCCGGCCACTCGCGTTCACGCTTGCGCTCGTGCGGCAGTGCGTTGCGATTGACGCCCATCAGCTCATCGAGGAGCGCTCGGTTGGCTGTGTGGAGTGAGAGGGCGGGGAGAGAGAGAGAGAGAGTGCAGAGGGTAGTGCAATGGAAAACCCAGTCAAAGTCAAACAGTCAGTCAACCAAACTCAGAATCGTGATTGTTTTTGTTATTGTGATGCATTTACCAGACATGATTTGTGTGAGAATTGAAAAGTGAGCTTGTTTGAGTGAAAAAAAAAATAAAAAAGTCAGAAAAGTCTGAGATTTTGAAACTGGACATTTAAAATAAATACCGCTTCTTTCGTTTTCTTCGTCTTTTGCCTCACTCTACTTTTGTGTGTGTTTGTAACAGGTTTTGATCAATGTCGGATGACGAGAATCACAATCAAGATGCAAGCGCAGTGACGCCCGAGCTGATTGCAGCGACTGTGCTCGAGCATCGCCGCGCCAAAGCGAGCCAGCCGACCAAGTACCGCTTCATCAACGTGCTCGCAGGCGGACCAGGAGGAGCCGGCATGGGAGGAGCCGGCACAGGAGGAGGTCAAGGCGGACGACTGCGACCATCCAACATGACTGGCTCCTCCGACGAGATCGCCGGCCATCATGCAGGCCAGGGCTCAGGCTCAGGCTTTGGCATAGGCTCAGGCACTGCAGATGGAGCGGCAGACGATGACGCGCTGCTGGACTATGCAGAGATTGACCAAATGTCGTCGAGAATGGCGGGATACTGGCCGGGTGCCGCGAGCGCATCGACAGCGACCGTTCCTGCTGCTGGTGCTGGGACGAGTGCAACTACGGATGCGAGGTCAATGACCCTGGCGAGGCGGCCGCGGCAGTCAACGCGCAACCACGGCGGTGCGCTCGAGCCAGACTTGCAACTGCCGATCGAATCGGAGCGCAGTCTCGAGCCTGGACGAGTGCATCGCACAGCGCCAAGTGCATCAGGCTTGGATGGTGGCTTGGGTGGAGCTAGTAGTGCTCGGGGTGTAGCGGACGAGCCAGTCAATAGGTCTGCGGAACTTGGGCTGGAACCCGGCAAGCCAATTCCAACGCTCTTTGCCATTCACTATCCAGGTACTGTCATAGTGTGTACTCATTTTTGAAGTGATGTGCTTCTTGAAGCGAAAGAAGTGTCAGGTGCCTATCGTCAGGGTTTCAGACGGCTCATGCACATTTCATTCTGGCTGATTTTCTGTCTGTTCACCTGCTCGTGTCACTGCTTAGGCAATGTCAAAAATGTCGATCGGGCAGTAACTACCCTTGGAGGACACGCGGCTGTCAATAAGGTTTGTCTTTGAGGCGATTTGATGAAGAATCAGTGGAGAGAAACGGCGTTTTGTGTGTGTGGTGTTCTTTGCCACGTGCATGACTCCCCCGCCTCGTGCTGACAAAATTGGAACAACCTCTGACCAAATCCAATAGGCGGCGCAGTTAAACGGCGAACTGCAGTTGAATTTCCGTCCCGAGGCAACTTTTTCGGCCGCTGTTCGCAGCGATAAAACACGACCCTGTGCCAGTCTTTTAGTGAGATTGCAAGCACCAACTGGCGGCATGAGCAAGGATGTTACCATCTCCGTCCGCGGAGTGATTGCAACGAGCACGCAATTCCGCGCTCTCGCTCCAGTTCAAATCTTACCCGCGCCGCCCGTCCCAGCCCAGCGCTCACTTGAAGGGGCCTCCTTGGATGGTATGCTTCACCTAGATTTTTGTTTACAGCTCGACGATGACCTCTTGTTTTTGACTCCCAGCTCACGAACGAACCGATTCCTCGTGCAGAAGTGGGCGACGCCTGTATCTTTTCCCGTACAGACATGCAGCTCCCGCCATTCTCGTTCACCCACATCGATCAGCCACGAACATACAAGTAAGAGCGAAAGGAGGAGATGCATGAATTTGATGCGAGATTTTATTGACCTGCGTTGTGAATATCAGATTCAAGCCGCCAATTTCCAATTCCGCGGCCAGTAACTCCACAGCTCCCATGGCTCAAAAGTCCTCTGTGCGCGTCAATTTTTCACTTTGTAAGTCTTTGATCACGCGCTCTAGGTTGACGTTGAAGCAGCCAAGTCTGACCTGAAAGTGTGCCGATTGTGCAGCCGCGCCGCAACCCACAGGCCCTCCGCGTGGATTGCCAACGACTCGTAACACTGCTCAGTCGGCCAGACTAGCAAAGGAATTGCACAGAGTGAGCTTGGGATGCACTCTTCGTGGCTTCTCATGCATCGCTTCACTCACTTTTGGGTTGCTCCTTTGATTTGACCATTCAGCTCTTCCAAGAACGTCCAATTTGGTCACGACTGTCTCTGATCACTCGCTTGCGTCGAGAGGGTATTTCCACCAGCTTAGTGATGCCGTGCGTGACAAACTGCTGGTAGTTTTCTTGGTTGTTTGGGGTTTTTCTCATTTCTCACTCGGATGATACCATCACAGCTTGTTAATGTCAACCGCCTTTCGTTATTCGACTGGCCCTTGGCGTACTTTGTGGGTCAGGTTTGGATATGACCCACGGCGTGATCCAAATGCGCGCTCGTGAGTTCCGAGGCGTTGCTTTGTTGTTTGATTTGTTTGTCTCTCTTTTTTTGTTGTTTGTGGGAGACCTGACTTGAATATCCCCACGCCAACCACTCAATGTTTTTGCTCTTGTTCTGTTCAGGTACCAAATGATCGATCTTCGGTTTGCCGGCAATGTGCCACTTGCACCATCTCTCAAAAGGTGGGGTAAATTTGACTGCCGTCGTAGTGGTCTTTTCGAGGACTGAAGTTGGTTTCTCATTCATTGTTGCTGTTCTTAACGGTAGTGAACGCACGGCAGCAAGCATTGCCGCTAGCCAGTTTGCCGACGTCTTTATTCCCAACACGTCCCCTTCGCAGCGCCAGTGCTGCATGCAAGTGTGCGATATTCTGCTTCGAGATGTGCAACAACTCTTGAAGACTCCTGTGCCTGCTCTGGATGTGCGCTTTGGCTACTTCCGTCGCAAAGATGTTGAAGCTATCGTGACGAGCGTCAAAGCGCAAACTCCCATGACTGTGGTGCTTGCGACACCAGAGCTCTTCAAAGCGGCGCTGCGAAATGCCGGTGTTGACCCCGAGCGGTACAGTCCATCCGCCATCACGCTGTCCGAGCCGCTAGGTGACAGCAGCCCCTTTGCTCCCATTCCAATGGATACGAGCGAGAGCGCAACCTCTGACGTCCCTTCCTTGTCAGTCGCTCCCCATCTCAGCTCGTCCTACGGCGGCGCATTCCTCGCCGAGCAATTAGACGATGTTGCCGAGTTTGACGTGTTTGATCAAGAGAGCACGGACGACGAAGCGGATAACACCACAGCACGTCATCCACATAACGAGTTCGACAACGACGCAGACGATGGCGACGACGATGAGTATGACGACAAAGAGGATGACGATGCCTACGCAGATCCTTTCGACCACGACGATGAATGAACGAAGGCAGACACCAGTCGGCATCTCCTTCGGTTGTTGCTGGTGTTTGATGGCTTGAGTTTTATACAGTATCTACATCAATCACTTTTGACACAAATTCGACTGGCTCAGGCCCACAACGAAATCATGCCACTGTCCGCACCAAACAGCAGCTGCTGGTTGACGGGCAGCATTGCAAAACTGTTGACTGTGCCTCGGATTGCATCGCTGCGCAGCTTGTGAGAGGTGAACGAGGGTTGCTAACAGGATTAGAGAGGGTTAGGATGGGGGTTGGTGGAGGTTGATGAGTGCAAGGTGACAAGGGAAAAAACAATCAAGAAAATGCAAAATCTTTACCGTTCTATCCAGCGCGCCGTGGAAGCCAAGACGGTTGGAGGCTGTGAGTGCCAGCACATCGCGCTTTGAGATTTCAAAATGCGTGACTGCATCCGTGTGGCCTGCAAGGAGCCATCGCTTTCAAGTGAGCCTTCCCCCAAAAGAAAACTCGGAGACAAAGAACCAACAGCTCTCTCGTACCGCGCATAAACTTGACCGGGACAGCAGTATGTACATTCCAGAGGGTGAGAGTGGAATCTGCAGAGCTCGACACGAGCTGGTGCTCGGACACTGGCTTCATGGAGAGGACATCCGATTCGTGAGCGCGCCAAGCAGCCAACATCAAGCCCGTGCGCAAATCGAGCAGCGAGATGATGCCCCCAGAAAATCCGGTGGCAATCCAGTTGTAGCCCGGATCGACAGCAATCGAGCGAATGGAGCCTGCGACAGTGAGAAGGGGTTTTGACGCAAGTGAGAAATTCCTTGAGACAAAACCAAATCCAGAACCAATGAAGAATCTTACCAGCTGGCATAGTCGCCACCTTCCACTCGTGCAACAGTTGATTGCTCTCGAGATCAAGGAATCTACAAGAGTCGCCCATCATGTGAGGGAGCAAATCCAAAAACAGCCAATTCCTTCATCGTCTCGTTTCCCTACTACCTTAGCGTGTTGTCCGAGGTTCCAGCCACAAGGCAGCTGCGTTGCGGGATTTGCTGGAAGCACACAATAGAGCTCTTTGGAAGGTCAAATTGTTGAGTGCAATATCCGTTCTCGGGATTCCAAATCTAACGCAATCAAAGGTGTGTGAGTTCAACATCTGGTTGACAAGGCTCAACCAAGCTTCGTGACGTACATGAATTCCTCCATCGCACGAGGCGACAAAGTCGGTGGATGTCATAATTTGTACGGACGAAACGGTCTTGCGATGACCGACATAAGTTCGACGACACTTGGCGACTGGCAACGAGTCTTCCTCCATACCGATGGACCATAACTTGACAGTCTTGTCCTTGCTGCCACTCACAAACTGCTGCTCGTTATCAAACACCGCGAGCGAGCGAACAGCAGCAGTGTGTCCTGCAATCAAGCACAGTCCCAACCAGCACGTTCACGCCAACGTGAATTGCCATGCCATGACCAGCAAATGAACATGAAACCAGCAAATGAACTGCAACAGTACCCGCAAAGCTTTGCAACTTGAGCTCTCGGAATGACAAGGAGGCGTTGCGAGATTGAGGATCTGCCCAAACCCAGAAACAGTCAACAACAGCAACAACAAAACAACTACAACTACAACAACACACTTTGCCTCTCCGCCTCCGAATCAAACATCCCGCAATTCAAAACACCACAAAAAAACTTCTCACTCATTTGATGGGTCAGGTAGGTTCCCCAGTTGGCATATGTGGTCTGGATCTCCTCGGCGCTGGGATCGTCGCCGTCCTTCTTGGAGCCGAGAGTCAGCAGATTGGAGAACTTGGCTCGCATCGAGTCGTTGGCGGACTGCGGGGGCATCGGGGCAGCGGCAGCGGCAGAGACCGCAGCTGCAATGGCGGCAGAGATGGCACTGGCAGAGACGACCGAGCCTGGGCCTTGCTCGGCGTTGCCATCCATTTCGTTGCCCGAATGCGAAAAGGACGCAAGATGCGAGTACATGAGCGTCTCGATGAGTTGCGAGTTGGCAATGTAGCGACGCATTGATTCTTGGCCAACAAGCAGACAGAACTGAGAATACGCCAGGTAGGCCGTCTCCGCCGTGTAGACCTGACGCCACTCTTCGAGATCGGACTCGCCATTGGGCGCAGCAGAAGCACGCTGGGCCGCAATGAACGACGCTGATGTGAGCGCGTCGGAAGCAGACGATGTCCTGGGATGACCAGTGGTATCTTCCAGGGTCCTGTCATAAATCCAGTCGAACGGAGCAAAGAACACGCGAAGAATGGGCAGAGCAAAGTCTTTCATGATGGGCATTGCATCGGCACACTTGCGCGACAAAAGCCGGCAAACGTAAATCATCGACTCGAGCATCTGACGGCACATGCGGCTGCGCAGGGCTCCGGAGAAGGCGGCGCTTGATGGCGATCCGAGCCAACGAATCAACGGCATAAACACCTTGGAGGAGAAGTCGTCCATCTGCTCGGCCAGCGTGTCACTATTGAGGTGCTCACAGCAGCCTTGCAGCAGGTTGAGCACATTCACAATGGTTTGAGCACTGCGGTCGGCCATCGAGGTTGGAGACGCAACGTCGGCAATGGTCGCGTTGGCTGCCGCAAGCGCAGAGCCCAAGGACATTTCCACAAGCGAGGACGTCGAGGAGACGCCGGAGACGTTGCCGGCTTCGTTGCCAAGGGATGCTGTTGCCGCTGCGGTAGGACTCGGCGCAGCGATGGTGGCAGCTTTAGTCAGTTGCGCTGCGAGCGTGGAAATAATGTGCGGAATGTACTGCCCGAGGACGACCGTTTCACCACCAGTCGCAGAGATGGAGAGAAGGCACTTGATGACAATGTTGGCGTTGGGGCGGGTGAGATGCCGCAGCAAGGGCTTGGTCATAAAGCGAGACGGAATAACCGGGCCGAGCTGCGCAGCCAGATCAACCAGACCGTCACCAGCAGCCTTGGCGATGGCAATGTTGGCAGAAACCACGCCATCGATCAAAAAGCCGACGAAATGCTCCATGAAAAAGGACAGACCAATTCTGTTGAGAAGCGACAGCACAAAGCGCTTTGACAAGATGACAACTTGAACCGCCTCGTCCGCCGTCAGCTCAAACAGAGCGAGTAGTGGCTTCAAAAAGACGACTCGAGTGCGACGCGGACCGAGTTTGGCGGTGACATGGTCGAAAAGCAGGACAGCGGCCTGCTGCCGCGTCAAGGGATGCGAAAAGAGCTGCATGATGAAGGGCATGGCGATCTGGAAGCCATCGTCGGCCAGCTTGACCAATGTCGTAATGTGCTCAGCGGTGAAGGTGACGCGGGTCGGCCAGTCGCTGGCCTGGAACTCTGCCAGGAAAGAGTACAGCGCGGGAAAGTAGTCTGGGAACAAGAACGACCCACCGGGTAAGAAGGACGTTTGCAACAGCAGGTCGGTCGGAGGCGTGATGGAGGAATCGTTGCGCAACAGCAGCGCAACCGCTTGACGAACAGTGCTGGGCAACTCGTTGAGGTAGGGCAGGTACAGCGAGGCAGGACCCTGCGATCCCATCATCATGGAAGCTGCAGCACTGCTCGTGGCACCCGGGAGCGAGCCAGCAGCAGTGCCGCTGCTCGTGTTGGCTGTGGCAGACAGGGTGGACGAGGCAGCTGCTTGAGCTGACGCAGCAGCCGTCGCGAACGCAGTGGCACCTTTGCCAGACGGCATGCCCGACACGCTGGTATTGAACGCGGCCGAGAATCCACCGCCCATGGACATGGATGCAATTTGGTTGCTGGTGGCATTGACGCTCGAGCTGCCCGCAGAGCTCGACATGCCAACCAGCGATGGTGCGAGCAACCCGGCCGAGGACGGCGCAGCAACGAGCTTGGTGGAGACGGCGTGTCTCTGGGCTGCGAGACGCTGGCGAACAGCAGTCTGATCCGAGTTGGCGGCACTGCCCTCTGCCGAGCCGATCGGCTGGGTGAGCGACTGCGGCACTGCACTGTTGAATACCACTTCGTTCAGCAGCATGACGCTGTTTCTGGCCGCGAGATTCACCTGCGAGATGAAGGACGTGGTGCCCGGGGCGGTGGGAATGGTATGCCGCACAGGGAATGGAGAGAACGAAGGCAGGGCAGTGTCGAAGGGCGAGATGGTTGCTGCATTGCTCAGATTGTTTGCGCGCTGCTTGGAGGCTGGGGCAGTCACGCCGAGCACAGGGTCAAGCTCTGAGAGGGCGTCGACAGTGGCAGACGTTCGGAGCCGAGAGGGTCCCGTTGCCTCCAGAATACCGCGAGCGTGGTACCGATCAGCAAGGTACAGCTCGCACACGATGCAAGCCAATCGGTAAAGATCAAAGGAGCGACGCTCCTCAAACGAGCACGGGATGGAGTCTGCACCGATGGCTGAGAGTAAAGCGGCAGTTTGCATGGAGGGCAGAATGTTACCGTCCAGCTGCTCCAACGGTTGAAGTGGAGCCACCAGTTGGCCGGCGTGGTCACTGGAAATGAGCTGGGCCAACGAGGTGGAGGCGCCTTCGAGCAGACTGCCGCCCTCGCTCGCACCAGCGCCCAGAGTGCCGGTGACCACGGCTGAACCAGCCTGTTGGCCATGCAGCTGCGAGAGTTGTTCCATGATTGCGCGATTGGCAAGGGAGACGAGCGAGCTGGACTCGAGCAAGTGGGTGACGATGGTGGCGGAAGTGCCCTGCAGAGACGACGCAAACGCCCTCGACTGCTCGAAAAGCAGCAAAGGTCCGATATGACCCGCTTGATCTGGATCCTCGGCCAGAGAAATGCGAGGGAGCTGCTGAGTCAGAGGCTGTTGCGGGACTCCTTGCTGACTCGACGCCGAGACAGCCGCCAGCCCGCTGCCGCTGGATCCTCCCGCAGACAAGCCGGCGGCACCGCTCGCCATTTGCCAGCCGGGATAGTTCGAGGGCATCGACGTAGGAGGTGAAGGTGGAGCGGCGGCCGATGCAGCCGCAGTCAAGGCGGCCAGAGCGTTGGACGAGGTCGCTGTTCCATCGGTCGCTGTGGCACCACCTGCATACCCATCAGCTCCACCGGATACGTTGGGCGAATTGGTAGACGCTGTTGCACTGGCAGAACTGAGCGCCGCTGCAGCAGAGGCACTCGCCGCTTGTATGTCAAGCGGCGTTGGCGATGCCAGCATTTGTGACCGGGTGTTTGGTTGAGGCAAGGGTGACGAAGGCAGCGCCGGATTGGAGGGTGGCTGCTGGAGGGTGGAGGAGGCACCGACTGCTGCTGCTGCTGCTGGCATTGCGAGTGTGGTGGTGGTGTTGGTGGTCGTGGTCGGTTGGACTGGATTCGAGGGGTTGACGGCACCCAACGAAGCAGCGGTAGACGATGAAGCGACTGCACTTCCAAGAGATGCAGCGTTTTGGTGCTGCTGGGGCGCGACAAAGTTGTCCTTGATAATCCGCGGAGGATGCGGATGGCCAAACAACTGCACCACTCCGTGAGAGGCCAGGTACTTGTGCTGATCCACCAATGGGAGGAAGACGTTCTTGGCCTTGACGGCACCGCGGCCAGTCAATTTCCAGCCGAACGTGAGGTCAATCCAGTGGTGGAGGAGTCCACTGACGGCATCGCTTTCAGAGCACGCATGTGTTTGTCGACAAAGTCGCGCCCAGAGACGGCCCAGTGCGGGACCTCAATGTCCGGCATGTCCGAGTGGATGGACTGGAAAATGTCTGGGTCGGTGAAAAACTCGGGAATGCACTCGTCCGGTGTCCAGTCGTACATGCGTTGCATGCTGGACGGATACTCGTTTGGCTCGTAGTTGGACCGTACATAGCGGCAGAGGAGCGCTCGCGGCGTGCGCCGCGCCAGGTACACAAAGTACGTGACCTCCGACAAGAGCTCGCTAATGTGGTGAGGAGTGGCCGAGTCCCAGGTGATGTCGAGTTGCTGGTCACCCTTGTTGAGCCGGAACTTGGTCTTGGTCAAGTTTCGCCATCCCCCGTTGGAGCGAGAAAAGTCAATCACCCAGGGAAGGACTGGATGGTAATTGGGATCGCCGCGGCGACGGCCTGCAAGGTGGTTGAGCGCCATGAGATATTCAAAGTTGGAAATGCTGCCGCGAGTCCAGTGATCAATCAGCCATGGCAAGTCCATGAGCGTGGGCGCACGCGGGATGGACGGCGAGAAAGGAACGAGGTTGAACATGAGTCGGGGTCGCGCCGCCGTGACAGACAGCAACGACGCTTGGTTGACCCACGGCGAGCAGCTGGTAAAGCCAGTGACACGAACCCACAAGTGCTCGGAAATCAGGCAGTTGGAGGACGTGAGTTGACCGTGCGTGATGCCATTGCGATGGCAGAAGGCGAGCACTTGCAGGATTTGGTAAATGACAAACAAGCTTTTGGCGTGCGATGCAGACAAGGCGTACGGACTGAATGTAACAATATCGCTCAGTGTTTTGGGCTCGAACGGATACAAGATGTAATACGCGCGCGCCGTCTCCACGACAGCCAATGCCGAGGCGAGGTTGGGATGGTTGGAGGATCGGAGGGCAGCCGCCAAGTCTGCATCGAAAAAGTTATCGACCACGTCCGAACAAGGACCCGGCGTAGCAGTCGCGCCAGGTGTACCACTGCTCGCTGAAGATGATACGGCGGGGGAGGTTGGTGTTGTCGTCGTGGTTGCCGGCGCTCCGAATGCGCTCTCAAACTGTGCCGCTTTCGACAGCAGGTTTTTTGCAGGGCTTCGATGGGTGGGGCCGCTGCTGCCGTCGGACGAAACGACGGCAATGTTGGGTTGGAGTGTGGTGAGTAGGTTCATGAGCGCGCGGTCCTGTTGGCGAGAGGCAGATGAGGAGAAAAAGGAAAACGACAAAATACAAAATAAGGCGAAGATTGGCTTCAGGCATGGCAATGTCCACAACACACAAACAACACACATGTGTAACACGTACCTGATCGCCAATGACGGTGGCGCCACTGCTTGGCACCCATGCTTCGCCCGGGTCGGCCGAATCCGAGGCACCAACAATGTTGCGCAGCTTTGATTGCTCCGCCTCATCGCTCAGATGACTCAAGTAGTTTCCTAGAGACACGAGCGCGTCTGATCCAATCTGGTGCACGGTCTGTCCATGCTGAGATGGAGTGTCACTGATCGGGTCCCCAGAATTGGCAGTCGCGTTCGCCTGAGCGAGCTCTGTAAAGACCTTCGGCCTGTGCCATTGCGTGCGTACAATAGCGATGATGCGCAATCATGACAAAAACGCAATCCCCAGTCAGCTACTTGCTCGCGACACTCCGATCATGATGGAGCGTCAAAGCATTGTTGACTTTACCTTCGGCCACTGTGGACGCCTTTGAGAACCACCTTGACGGCGACCTGCACATACGAGTTTTCTGGATGGGCATTCGAACGCTCAGCCAGCAATCGCAGCTGGGCCGTGAGTGCCGCGGACGGCGAGATTCCCATCGGCAAGCCGGCCTCTTCGGTTGAGAGTGATAGCGGGGGGTGCGCTGGCGGGATGGCACGATCCAGCGCCACCGATCGCAGCCACGCCTGATCGACCTGTGTGTTTTGTGGTGGTGTGGGGTGTGTCAATGTCATTGTGGGGAAGCGTCCGCCAGAGCCCAGTCGAACATTGAATCGATGCGAATTCAGGAGAGAACGGGGTCATCATTGTCCATCATCAGACCAACTCGTGAGATTCAAGCACACCAAAAGCAAAAGGCAGCATCACCCAAGAGGACAGAGCACAGGCCGTTACCACGCAGCAGGCATGGGTGCCGTGATCGCCAGGCTCGAACAGCGGCCGGGTCGCGCGCGGCTGAAGCTCGGCGTCAATCAGCTCGGACAGCGCTGGAAACGAGAGCCGCTGTCCCATCAAAAAAAAAAAAAAAAAAAAAAAAAAAAAAAAAAAAAAAAAAAAAAAAAAAAAAAAGAATGAACTTGGAGAGAAAAAATGGGTAACTTCAAGCAAGGCTAGCGACCTGTTCCGCTCGGATTTCGCCGCCCCGCTCAAATTGATTGTTGACAAAATATTATTGCATGTTGAATGCAAGAAATAGTTGGCGGTGAGGAGGGAAATTTCGTTGAAAATTGGAGGCCAATCCATTTCGTGTCGGGTACTGCAAAGCCCGCTCGAGCTGTCCAAGCAACGGTTCTGCCGTTGTAAAATGACTATCGTTGCGTGTACAATGTGCTTGTTGCGGAACCTTGATCTCTGTTATTTCATCTGGAAGCGGGCAAAAATGAGCCAGAGCACAAAATTAAAAACCAGCAACCAAAAAAATGAATCTCGAACAAATTTATCTTCACAAAATTTTGGCTTTTGCAATTCATTGATTCAAA